TATGCATTTGCCACCGCCCATATCCATGGAGCCATCTACAAAGAAAGAGGCCTCCTAACTGCAGGGGGAAAGGACATTAAGAACCGTGAGGAAATCCTCACCTTCCTAGAGGCCATATGGCTACCCAAGAAAGTTGCTATCATACACTGCAGGGGCCGCCAGAAAGGAGACTCCCCAATTGTAAGAGGAAATAACCTGGCCGACACCGCCGCCAGGGAGGCTGCTACAGGCCGAGGGGACAACCTACTCTCCCTAATACCCCAGCCAGGGCTGCCTTCAAACCCCAAGTACTCTACAGAAGAAGAACAAGAAGGAATTAAGCTAAGAGGGAAGAAAAATAAAGATGGGTGGATAGTACTCCCTGATGCTAGAATATATTTACCTCAAGGAGTATTAAGAGAAATAACTCAAGACATCCACACCAGCACCCACTTAGGACAAAATAAGTTAGAACAGCTAATCAGAAAATATTACCTTGGACTACACCTAAGGGAAATGATTCACTCAATCTCCTCACGATGTAAGGCCTGTGCCAAAGTGAATGCCCAGAACAAGAGGCTACCCTGCTTCGTGAGGTATCGAGGAAGAACCCCAGGTGAACTTTGGGAGGTTGACTTCTCCGAAATGCCTAGAGGGAAATCAAGGTACAAGTATTTGTTAGTTTTAGTAGATACTTACTCTGGGTGGGTAGAGGCCTTCCCCAGGAGAGGAAAAACTGCCTCCATAGTCTGTAAAATTCTAATGAGAGAGATTATACCTAGGTATGGGATACCCCTAGCCATAGGGTCTGATAACGGACCTGCATTTGTTTCCAAGGTCTCACAAGAATTAGCAGCTAGGCTAGGGATTGATTGGAAACTCCATTGCGTTTACAGACCACAGAGTTCAGGGCAAGTAGAGAGAATAAATAGGACACTTAAAGAAACCTTAATAAAACTAAACGAGGAGACCGGCGAGAATTGGGTGGAGCTACTCCCTTTTGCCCTCTTCCGTGTGAGATGTACCCCCTATATTAAGACATGGGCACCCTTTGAAATACTATTTGGGCAACCCATACCTCTGGTTCCTAAATTAACTAAAGAGGAAATAGAAATGTGTTACCACAACTTCCTTAGGCCCTTGCAAGCGCTGCAGAAGATTCGGAACGAAGTGCGTGCCTTTCGACAGGCCCAGCGCCAAGGACGCCAAGACGGGGAAGAGAAGACACCAGAGTCACTGGAGCCTGGGCAGTGGGTATGGATCCTTAACCACAGGAGAGGAAGCCTAGAGCCTCGGTAGATCGGACCTTTCCAGGTACTGTTAAGCACCCCCACCGCTATTCGGGTAGCAGAAAAACCATATTGGATCCACCTATCCCACACCAAGGCAGCCCAAGCGCCAGAAGAAGGATCTCAAAGATGGCGAGTCCAGCGAGACCCAGGCGAGCCCCTAAAACTCACTTTCTCCCGCTCATAGGGGTGTGGCTCGCCTGTTGGGTCACACTCACAAAGGGGCTCGCCCATCAATGGGTTCTGGTCAGATTCTCTGACGGTGAAGTAATTGCCACAAACAACACGGGAAGCAGTGGCAAGGTGACCCTCCAGGCCACTCTCTCCCAATGGTTTGGACATAGACTTTGTGATGGGAATGGACTCCATTCTGATGACCCAAACAAAGCTCAAACCTTGCAAGGGGCTGTGGGAGAAGGGGGATCAAATTGTAATAATATTTAAACCGAGATCTGTTCCACACAGACCTCTACGTGTGTCCACATAGAACAGGGAATTATGAAACATATCTACAGGGAACCTGTGGGGGGGGCTGGAGACTTCTATTGCAGAGAATGGGGCTGCGAGACAATTGTCGCACCCCCCTCGTGGACACCGAAGGCAGGGAAAGACCCATTCATTAGCCTCACAAGAGACAAGTCCAACCCGCCAGTAAGGAAGGGGAACCCCCGCTGTGCCCAAGATAGGTGCAACCCCATCACAGTGACAGTCCTGAACCCCAGCGGACCAGGATGGGATAAGGGACGCACCTGGGGACTACGTCTGTATACCTCAAGGTGGAACCCAGGAGTCCTCTTCACCATTAGACGGATTCCTCAAATAGAAGGGCCAATCATGAAAGGGTTTGGAAATGGCTTGCCGCCAGGGCCATCCCGGCCTCTCATAAGTCCCCCTAAGGCTCCCAGCAGACCAGAGGCACCGCCCCCAGAGGAACCGACAGGGGCTGACCATCCAGAGCCCCTGGGCAACCAAGGTCAACATTTAGAGAGCACTAGTCATAGGAAAATGAGTCAAGGGTTTGACCTATTGCCAAAGGAAAGGGGGGAATGTTACAGTCAAGGAGGAAATAAGTTGTTTAGAAACTGCACCCACCCCCAGGCAGGTGTTCCAGAGAGTTAGGAATTGGTCAAAACGTATAGAGGGCTTCCATGTGTCAGGAATTGTTAAGTGCTTCACACCTGAGCTCGTTTAGCCTGTCGCTAACTGCCACCTTTGCTTCTGGAAACCCGCTTGCTTGCCCGCTTCTATAAGAACCCTGGCCTGTAAGCGTTAGGCGCGACTCTCATTTGCAGGCATTTTGGCACCGTGCCTCCGGACACCCCAAGAGTTCGCCCCTGTGCAGGTAAAACTTTGAAACTTTGGCCAATAAAACACCTATGACTACCCAGTAGTCTCCGACCCTTCTTGCTTGTGAGAGCGGAATGTAACAAAGGGGGGGAATAGAACAACTGTAAAGGCGTAATCAATAAAATATATTTACAAAAAAAGAAAAAAAAATTGAGGAAACACAAAACACCTGAGGGGGAAAAACCCTTAAAATCACCTTATCAAATCATGTCAATGTGTCTCATTTTCATCAACTCTGTGTATTTTCCATAGTGGGAGTAACACATTATTTTACAATCCAAATGTTTCAATTAATGGCATGAGAATAATATGAGAAGCATTCCTTATATTATTGATTACTTTATATAAATAACTAAAGTTTCATAGTTTTTGTTTCTGTGGTTGCATCTGTATTTAATCATTCCACTATAGTTGGAACCAAGATTTCCTCTGGTATTTGGCAATTTAAATAACGCGAAGTAAACATCGAAGTGGCAGCAGTTTGTCCGCATCTGCGGTTTTCTGAAGGTAGGTTGCTAGACGTGGGAGACCTGACTGGGGGTGAACACACGTGGTGAACACTCGTGGTGCCCAGGTGATGTGCTGGGGAGCTGTGCACCGGACACCTGTGTTACTTTGTAACCCTTGTCACCCCAATACACTCAATAAAAGGGGGGATGTATTTCCTTCTGAAGACTACAGATATAGTTCTCTAAACATACTTACGGTAAATGTATACTGACATTTCCTCATAAAGTAGCAGTTTATGAGAATATATGTATTACTTTCTTCTCTCCCCAGCAAGACATTTTTAAATATGAACCTTGATTTTGGAGCTTGGTTTGTGTGTTGGTGCTATCTGGTGGCCACAGTACAAAATTACAAAATCGAAATGGAAAAAGATCCTTTGGAAACTACTAAGCAACATTCAATTTGTAAGGTGGAATATCACAAATGTATAAACTTTCAAAAAGCATTCTTGCTTCTTGGATTTCTAGAAATTCTCAGTAGCCATATAAAATAAAGCTTACAAACTGTTTCAAATGATATTCATTCACTCACCTGAATTTCTGGGGCACCCCTCGCCTGGTGACTGTTCTACCAACGGCTGAAGCCTGAGATGAGTACACTGCTCAGCCGCAGGGTTAGAGAAAAGCACCCTCATCACTGCTAACTTGACCAAAGGCTTTTGTAAATGGAAAGTCATATTTACTCATTTTGTAATTTGAATCATCCTTATTTTATTTTATTTAGTTGATAAATCCTTGGTTAAACTGAATGATGAGTTTGTTTGTTTTTTAATTCCTTCTACTAAGCCATTGAGTGGAACCGACGAGGATAATTTCCTGGCCAAAACCCAGCTGACCCACCGTTGGTACTATGCTCTCAAAGAGAAGAAAATGATACAGTGTGCAATGGCCAGGACCCGGCCCTGGGGAGGCTGGGCTGCAGCCGACACTACCAAAGAGAAGGATCAGGCCACTGTAGAGAGAGTTGACCCCAGTTCTTGATCATTCTGAAATGCACAGGGTTCGCCTGAAAGCACATATTCTGTCAAAATAGCAAAAAGCAGTGGAAGAAAATCCCAGATGACCCTCAGCTAAGTTTTCAGAAGCCATGCAGGTCCCAAAGATGGCCAGGCTGTTTATGGGAGAGATCCTTGCAGTCCACTCCATGACAGTGTCCTGGGGGTTAAAAAACAACAATAAAAACAGAAAAATAGGGCCAAGGAGAAACTGGTGATAACAAATGCCGTACCTGCACCAGCAGGCCCATCAGATCTTGGGCATCTGCAAGTTTGCGAAAGCCTATTAAAATGGGGTCACATAAAAAAATGCTCATCAGCCCATTTCCCCTCTTTTATCAAATGTCCCACTTGCGTACACTTTAAAGATGAACCATGACGAGCCTGCGCAGGCCGAGTCCTTGGCTCACGTGGGAGGAAGTGTTGCTGAAAGACTCCCCCGGATGGGCAGAAAAACAGCGCATCAAAGTTTTACATTTAGCTCCCTATGTAAGGCACTTCACTAAATCATTATTTTAAGACACAAAATTGTACTCTTTCCCCTTTCCTACTTGCTTATTGTGTATGATCATCCTGCTTTTCTGCTTTTTCTGGACTATTTGACTTATAGTTCCCCATATTTTCCTTTATTTATGCAGCTAAAACAAATACTGCTCTACAATTTATAAACACACATATATTTAAAAACAAGAAACAAATTTATCTATATAAACACAATAAAATTATTAGCTTATTCTTAAAAATTAAAAATATAATTTATTATAGTTTGGCTTTCAGATGACCTATATCTACAAACTTTTTAAAGTATCATTACAAACACATCAGGGTAAAAATGTTATTTACTTTATTTAATTAATTTATTATTATTATAAAGGCTCAGAGTGTCACAACCTGCCCCCAGAAAAGCCCTTCCAGCTGACTTCCATGTACCTCATCTCCAGTGATTCCTCATGCACTGAACAAGGAGACATTCCTGGTCCAACTTTATGTTTCCCTCTTCAAAAAGTGAAATCACCTAAGTTCCCAAGAGCCCTGGCTCTTTCTCTCTTCCATAAACAGCTCATCATGACTTCTTTTTGAACTGAAGACGAATATGCACAGTTATCTCATTATCTGGTCTCTGACCACACCTCCATTGTCGTTTTCTGTCACCGACCCCGTGATCTGCAATGACCATTCACACCGGTGTCCCTCCAGATCTCAAATGCACTGGATAAGTATTTGATCATAAGTTCCATTCTTGAGGGTTTTTTTTTTTAATTTAGTGGAAAGAAGAACTGCAATAAACAGCAACGACCAAAACGCAATGCCCTTTCGGCGTCACCGACAGCCGGCACAGCACATGGAACACAGTTGACCTGCAGCAACCAATTGTGATTACAGGAAGGTAGGAGCACATGGGGATGATAAACCAAATGAAGAAATTCATGGGTAAATTAAAAATATTAATGCAGCAGTGTTCCAAAACAAATATTACTTATTTGGGTCAAAAAACACAGAAGCATAAAATTATTACAGATGATGCAGCATGATGTGGAACACTGCCCAGTAAAGACACTGAAAAAGATGAGATTAAGAAAATCTCTTCATAAAACCTGCTGTGAATGTGTTGCAGTACCTGCCTCAGGGTGACTTAATGAGCGTATCTACCCTCAATTTTTATACATATAAACATCTGTCAACAAATAATGACTTCCTAAAGTATCTAAGAATAAGTGGCTAGTGTACAAAATTGTAACAGTTAATAAATCCTTAAAGTATTAGAAGGAAAGGATTCATGTTGGTTCTAAGTTCCCCTTCCATATGCCACTGGCAACAAATTGGTTTTATTTTCTTTGATATTATTTTACAACTGCTATATCTACAAGAGCAAAAATAATTACAAGTCAGAACTTTATAAGCAAGGAGCTTCCAGAAACTCTCCAAAATCATAAAAGCCAAGATCTTGTCTTCCAGCCCTTCCAGTGGACGCCCACTGTAGATGTGGGACATGAGCCCACGCACAGCACCCCCCGGGGAAGGGCGGTCGGAGGAGAGCCGTGGGAGGGGTGGGAATGCAGGCCCACGTGGCACTGCGCAGTGTGCAGGCATTGGTGTGAACCGCCCTGAATCACAAAAAGCTTATAAGTAGCAGGTATATATTAATCCTATGTCAAACAAAACACGATGGTCTGTCCTGCATCTTCTCAAATGTTATTCATTCACAGACCCAGAAGAGATGATGACCTGCTTCTCTGAGGCCCTGGGCCCAGCCTCCGAAGTCAGTGGGCATAGCAGAAGGATGACGTCTTTTTCACCAGCGAAAGATGTTCACGCAGTGTTTGTTCACATCAGATGCAAGAAGGAAACCTTGATTCAAAATGAAGAAACATGTTCCAGGAGCAGTTGAAGTCTGTGATTGACTACCCTGGGAAAGAAATGAGTAATATTTTTCTGACGGTGTTCAAACACAGTAGTTCACTGCCTGGAGGGGAAGTTATGGAGAGAAATTCATGAATCAGTGTGACTGTGAAACCTGTAAAGGTCCTGCTGAAGCCTATGGTTTTAGGATTTTGTGAAAATAGGTGCTTAACAAACTCATATTTCCTGTTAGAAGTCCTGGACTGTAGTTCCTTTCATCAAGAGGATATTTACTTCTGTGTAAAAGCCCACCTCAGTCATTCTGGAAAGTAGATAAATACATTGAGATAAGACATGGGAGAAGGAAAGCCTTCTCCATCACGGTTTAAGAAAAAAATCACTACAATTTAAACATCCATATAACATGTGAGAATTAGTTGTCAATAAAAATCGTATTTGCGTAAATGTTCTGCCTCTTGTATGAGAATTTCTTTGAAAATCCTTCTTAAGTGAAGTCTGTGTTGGGATTTCTCAGTATTTGTTGCCTTCTGTAAACTTGAGGGATGCTACTACACCAATAACGGGTGGAGAGTTTGTTTAATTTGCAGGGAACAAACCTGTAAGGTGTTAACATGAAAGATGATCCTACTGAAGAGGCCACCCTCCCACTGTGATTAGAAAAAATCAAAATAATAAGTCAGAATATGTCAAAGCAGAGCTCTAAGCCAAAAGTCAGCTGAGAAGCTGCAGAATGACTGCCTGAGAGATTTAAAGCCCTTTTTAAAAATTTTTATTTATTGATTTTAAAGAGAGAGGATGAGGGAGGGAGGAGAGGAAACAGAGAGAGGCTGATTTATTTTTCCACTTATTGATTTATTTGTTGGTTGACTCATGGATGTGCCCTGACCAGGCATAGAACCGGCAACCTCAGTGTATCAGGATGACCCTTGAACCACCTGAGCGACCTGGCCAGGCCAAGACCCTTCTGTTTTGAAGCTACAAATCACAAGGTTTCCTGTTTGTTTTGTCTTGTTTTGTTTTTAATCCTAAACCATTTTATTCCGTAGCACAGCATATTATTCTCTGTATGCTGTGATGTCTGAATGACAAGAACAAATGATTCTGACCTCTCCACCGTGTTTTTCCTAAGTCCACCCCCACTTGTCAAACAACCTGCTTGTACTTTTAATTCAGTGTGAATTCCCTCTCTGGTGAAATGAGGAACCCATTGAAATTTAATTTTCTCTTGCATGCAAAGTGTAACTCTGTAAAGTTGATTTTTTTAAATGGGAAGATCAAGAAAGTCTTCAAAAGCATGAGGAATTGTTGCAGATTAAAGGACCAGACTGCATGGTCCCGAGCGTGGAGGAAAAACACCTGTAATGACATCATTGAGACAACTGACAAATTTAAATATGGACTGTAGGCAGAAGCATGGTACTACATTGATGCTAAATGTCCTGATTTTCAAAATTTTGCTCTGGTTATACAAGACTAAGTTCTTGTTCTGGTAAAATATTTAGACAAAGAGACATAATATTCTGGATTATCAAATGAACCAGCAATGGGAAAGAGAGAGAAAGAGAGAATTCAATAAAGTACAGATAGTAATATATAAACAAATGCTAACTATGGGTAAAGGATATATGAGAGTTCCTTAAAGTGTTGTTTGAACTACTCAGCGAGTTTGAAATTATAGCAAAATATATATTTAAGATGAGAGGTGAGCAGCTAGATGGGGAAAAGTGATACCTATATTTTTAATTATGCTATCACAATTGTGCTATTGTTCTTAATTGTGCTGTCTCTCAAAGCTGGACACTATTGAAATGGTTTATGCTAAAAATAAGGAGAAGAACCAGGTATTCATGAGTTCTCTAATTGGTTCTGTGAGCAGTGCAGGGAAAGAGAAAAGGGGAATAACTCTGCAGGCCCATTAAAGAGAAGGGTATCTGCTCTCCAGAGGCAAAAATCTCCTCTTCTCCAAGAAGACCGAGAATGTCTGATGTCTCAAATCGTTATCCAGCAGAGGATGTTCTCGTCAACCTGCTCCTCTGTGTTTTAGTTGGACTGTCCTGCGGTCAAGAACATTACTTTGTTAAGTAACCACATATTATTACAAGAGACACACTAAAGATGACAAAGTTCCATTTTACCTTTTCTTCTTAGTGTTTTAAAGGCAGAGAAAATGCTCTGCTCGCAGATGCAATTGTAGGTTTTATAGCACTCAATGGATGCTATCCTCGTTGAGGTTAAAAATGCACATTGTCCTCTCCCAAAGGTTGAATTCATTATCCCATGATTACTGTAAAACAGAAAATACGTATGGTCCATTGTTTAATCCTGAAGCTCACAATAACATGAGTCATAATTTTTAAGTCAGTTGTCTAAAGATCAGAAATGGGCAAAAGTTAATCATAACTTTATCACTAAAAGATTGTCTTGGGCTCTTAACCTGTCAGATAGAATCTCACATAGTCCCTTAATTACACCCATAATCTCCCATTTTATTCCACACTGGAAAGTTTTGGCCAGAAGGCAAAATTACATGCAATATTGCTATGGAATTATGACATAGCAAACATGCTTTCTTACATTTTTCTTTTCAATACAAGCAAGAGATTAAAAAGACAAGAACTGAATTTCTGTGAAACAGATAAGCAGGTCGCATGTGTATATACTCTATGAAGAAAAAAGTAGAATTGGAATATAAGCAGAAATGAAACTGTTTAATCAATGTTGTTATTTGTTTTGTTTCTTTTTCATCTCAATGCCATAGCTAACCACTAACTAAAACATGGCAATCTAGTGGTAAATATCCAAAAGCAGGACTTCTATTTTAGAAAAGTGCTGGATAACATGCCAGAAACCTTTCTACTAAAAACAATGAAAAATGTTGAAAATGAAAAAAAAAATTAAACCTTCCTGAATAAGTTTATGAACTGGCAGACAAGAAGCACATTCACACCCAGGCCAAGGGTGATTGAGGAAAGGCAGGAACCCTGGATGGTAAGTGAAGGGCTGAAGCCAGTCTTCCCTTCACTGGTTGTAGAGGATGAATAAGGAATTTCACCCCCCACCCTAAATAGCAGGAAAGTACATAGGGTTGAGGCCAAAGGGATGTATCTTTGGTACAAACACCCTAGAGCTGTCTTGAACCTGAGATTTAAGCCGACTAGCAAAAGAATAATCCCACAAAAGAATCCAAAATCATAAATCATCCCTCATGTAATTTGCATTTGCTGTCCTATTTAAGAATATTCCAATCTGGTACAGGAAAAAAAGGGAAACAAACAAGATAAATGAAACTAAACAGCTTGTGAAGCATGGCTGAACACATAAGATAAGTTAAATACGGTTAAGTAAGCAGGAGACGTGTTAAGGTATAGATACAGTAACTAGAGCTCATGTGTGCTGAACATAGAAAAGGAAGAATCAAGACCATCATACACAAAATGTACATGAAGCACATAGGTCCTCAACATTCATGAAGTCTTAAGTTTCTCATCACTGGCAACGCTTACGCCGGCCCTCTGCCCAAGAAACACAGACAAAATCCATAGCTGCTCCTTAGGTTAAACTGGAAAGGTGCAGCTGTGTCCAGGCTTAACAGGCCCCTGCATCTCCCCGGTACAGAAAAGGTGTGCGCTGGCCTGTTACTCAAATGTCGAGCCTGGTTTTAGAAACCACACCATCATCAGATCAGCAAAGAGCTTTGCTGCAAGTACAGTTGGTCCATGGGAAGACTGCATAAGCCAGGATGCAAGTGATCCTGTCATGTCCTGGCACCTTATCCTGGTGGGACCCCTATCCCACCGCACCCACCCGTGATACGCTGTCTCGCTTCTTTCCCCTGTGGAGTATGATGTGTTTTAAACTGATGTAAGCATCTCCTTTTCTAATTCTTAAACTGGTTAAAAGGCAGACTCTTGAATACGATGTTGAGCAAAATACTTAGTGTCTCACTCTCAGTCTCCTCATCGGGAAATGGGTGTAATAACAGTACCTACATCATCTGGTGTTTGTAAGCATTAAATCAGTCCATGGAAATGCGTTAACTGTGCCTGGCATGTAGTGACCACTCAATAAATACCATAATCATTATCGTTTCAAAAAAACCTGAGTGTCTCGCAATAACCCATGACCTTTCCACTATGTGACCTCTGAGACAGTTGCCGGAAGTGCACTCACAGGCTATGAGTACTTCAAGGCAATTCCCTGCATCATGTCTTGTGTAGGTCTGCAGCCCAGAACTACATCACCTGCAGGGCCCAAAGTTAGAATTAAAAGTGGCCTGTGTTCATAGTGGTTAAAGGCCTCCAACAAAAGCAAATTCTTTCTTGAGGAAGTCACCTTCATCTCAGTTCGCAAATAATTTCCACAGCAGCTCAAAAAGGAAAAAATATCACTAAACACTACAAAGAAAATGTCATTATGAACAAAAACCAGCAGAAACAATAAATTACACCCAGAAAACTTAAAATACTAGAATTATTACATACCAAGTATAAAATAAGTATGTTTCTTATTATCAAGGAAATAAAAGACATCTTGAAAAAATGGGTAATTAGCATGGAGATTTGAAAATAGAATTCCTAGAAGTAAAAATATAATAGTTAAGATTTTTTTTAATCATTAACCAGTTTAATAGCAGATTATTCTTCATGTAAACCTAAGAGTTTACAAAATATTATACTTCTAATAGAACTACAGTAAAGGAGTGTGTGTATACTCACATATATTTATAAATAATATATAAACATGTATGTAAACTAATAAAGAAGTTTCAGATGAATTGGGATGCTCAGAATACTCATTTGTGATTATGGGAGGGGCCACCACGGCTAAATCAGGATGATGCAGTCACTTCACATCACTTCATGGCTGTGTTTAATTTTGTGTGCCGAGTAACAGATTCTTTCAAGCATGTGTTTAGCATCACAATTTTGTTAATAGTAACTCCATATGACACTTCTCCTCCTTTTCAACTATATTTCCCAAAACACTTTCTTAATCATTCTACTTATTCTTAACAATCGCCTCTACTCAAAAATGAGTTAAGCTGTGTGAAATAAAAGATACTTTTTAGATATAATACTTCCACCCCCAACAGCAATGCTAGAGTTGAAGTGCATTGCAAAGACTTACATTCCAGGTGCACCACTGCCAGTCCACTCCAATTTTCTTTTCTCTTCGTTATATGATAATCCAATCCAGTAGTTGTTTCCATAAGTCTGCGGTTGAAGGAAGGCCTATCAAAAATCAAAACATACGTGATTAAAGTTTCGTCTGTTAGGCAAATGAAGAGGATAGGAAGAGCGGCCAGCTCTGCTGCGCTCCACATCAGCCTGCACGCCTCCTTCCTGGAAAGCCCTTTCTACCCTTAACCCCTGTGTATTCATTTCCCAGCAGAATTTTCTCCTAGTAGATCACTTTATGTCAAAAACAGGTGCCAGTGCCATAGATTATTTAAAAGGTGGGAAAAAAATCAAAATATCACACAATAGGACATAAATAGTAATTTATGACACTTCATGAACCAATTCAAAATCATGCCCCAGAAAATTATTTACGGATATAGAAAAATAATTATTAAATATTAAGTGAAAGAGGGAATCTTTAAAACAAATATACTAAAATAACAAACATAGGTGGGAGGTATACATTAGTACCTTCACCCTCATAAGAGAAAGCCTTGCTGTGGTTCAGTGGTTGGAAGGGGCAAAGATAAAAGGGGCTGAATTTAGAAATTTTTACTAGTCCAAAAATGTAATTTATCAAAGTGACATACCACACAATGTCTGACTAAATGAATGTGTTTTAACATATAGGTTTAAAATTTAACATATAGATTAAATGAATGTGTTTTTAATATTTTATGACAACATAAATTCTTCTGTGTTATTAAAATATTTATTAGATTTTTCTATAAATTTTGTGTTGTTTTCCTAAATGATAAATATGTATTTTAAGGCTGGTGTTTGCAAGCATTTCTCTGTAAAAATACAAAGTGTGTATGTGGATAGTTTTTGTTAGTAATAAATTGAATAGATAATTTTGATATTGTGTCACTATTTTACCTTTTTACAATTCTGTTTGAAAGATATACATCTTGATATAATATATAGGAATACTGATTGAGTAACTGTTGCTTGCAGATGCAATGAAAATCATCAAGAGGCTAAATCGTAAACTGTTGCCAGTTTTACGTTTCTCATCATCTCTATGTTGCAGTTGGGGAAACTGAAGCTGGGAGAGGTTAAGTAATTTACCGAAGGTCATTCAACCAGTAAGTGCCAGAGCTGGACTTGACTGCGGGCAGCCTGGCTCCTGGAGTCCTTGTAGCAACTCTTGACCATGTTACTTCAAGATTTTAGTTGCCACTTATTGGGAGAAATAACTACTGGCTCCAGCCTGCGTTTACCAAACAACTAAGTACTTCCTCAGAGGAAAGTCACCTTTCTCTTGTGACTGTTTTCCTTGCAGATTCCTTAGAAGAAGTGATTGCAAAGACCCAAAGTGCATCCTCAAAGGCATTTCCATTTTGGACACGATAATGGTCATGATAGATAATATGTTTTGAATGCTTAGTAAATACAAGACAATGTCCCTGTCAGGGGGCAGTCTCCTGGGAGACTCTTAACTGTGTGATTTTTGCCCACTCAACAGACGTAACACAAAGGATAGCAAAGGTCCCTTTTTCTGGGCCCCTCCCCCAGTGCTCAATATCTTGGGTCTGAGGGTGTGAGACAGAGTCCAAGAGAATAAAAGTGAATACAGTCATCTATGATACCAGTTCATCTTCATCATCTATCTTCAAAAGAGATAACCCATAACTTTGGCAAGCCTGTTTACATCCGTTCCAGTTTTTATTTTCATTGGTAAACAAGTAACAGTTTTCTCCACAACAGGACCAGTGTTCTTCTTGGAGTTTGCCTACAATGTAGCATATAAAACATTAACTTTTGTTATCTGGCATTCTATTAACCAGAAATATATATGTAAAAAAATATGCATTTATACTTATATTTATATTTACTCATATAATAATTATACAATAATATATCATACATGAATATAAATATAACCACATAATACATAATGTATAATAATATAATAATATAATATACTTATATAACATTTCATATTATATAAGATATCATACATTATATGTTATGTTGTATAATATATGTCATTATGTGTGATACAGTACATAACATGATAATATGTGATATGTAGTGATTTGTAATATTATTTTATTATATAATATGTTATATATTGTATATTACTGTGCATGATATATGATGTTATATGATGTATTGTTATGTCATGTGTTGTTATATTAAATGATGTATTATATGTTACTATATAATATGTAGTGTATGGTAATGATATAATTATATTATTATAATATAGTGATAATATAATAATAAATATATTACATAGTATTATGCATGATTATTGATATAGAATATATATTATTGTGTATCATAAGACAGATTCCAGTAACATAATTTATTTTATATATAAATCATTATATAATATATGAACTAATTAGTAGATGTATAAATCATATATAATGTCTATATAGTTATTATATAATAAAATGATTTATAAATAATAATTTGTATATTATAAATCATTGTATTAAATATGTGATTTATATGAATTATTGTATCAGGTATATTTTATACTTATACTTTATATAGACTATTATATTAAATATAATTATGTTATGGGTTATTATATTTATGTGTAATTATACTGTGTATGATTTATATGAATATATGTTTGTATATCATATATGTGTGTATACATATATAATTATATATTTATATATATATTTACCAGCCTTCCATAACTAAGTGAAATCTCAGCAGCTATAAGTAATGATAACATGAGGCTCATCGAGGTCCCAGGATGCCAAGTGATACCAACACTCCCACATTCACTGCGGCACTAGTCACAACAGCCGACATACGGAAACAACCCAAATGTCCATCAACAGATGAATGGATAAAACAAAGCATGTTCTATACATACTTGCAGAATGATTCAACCTTAAAAATAAGGCTATATTTTTATAGCATTCATGTTTAATGTCAGCAACAAAGTAAAAAAAGGGATTAATTTGCCCACAAGTGCAAAATGATCTGAGTTTTAAGGGGAGCTAACATATTATTTTACCTTCTGGAAGGAATAGGAATGTGAGAATTGCCATTGAATTTTGGGAAATACAGAAGTCTACTAATGCAAACATGGCTCCTAGGACCTCGACCCCATATTTGAAATGAGCAATCCCAAATACTCATATTATTTCTAAGAAGCATAAATTGAAAATTCCAGTAGACCTAGATAACCAGCATATATCAGAAGCCTGTTATTAACTTTGAAGCTTTTGCAGAATAATGAAAAAATCATGCCATCTCATTGCCTTCATACCTGTATTTTGCATAGATTTTGAAAAGATCATCTCTTTTCTATAACAGCTGTTCTTTTCTGATAGTGAGACCAGTTTCTTTATCTCCTGAAGCGTTTTATTTTTATGAATATCAGATGCTAAAGTCTTATTTGTCAAAAGTTGCTTTGTGAAGTTGTCATTTTGCATAATGGGGTACTTTAGCCTCAGGTTTTGTAGAATTTTATCCTGTTGATGTTTTTTTTGAGTACACTGAAAAACTAAAATGAACAGAATAGATATTATACAGAATTGTACTCATAATGCTTAAGTGTTGAAATTAAAGAGAAAAATATTTCTTTCACAATCAACTCATTTCATTGCTTTAATTAGCAATTTGACATTTAGAAAGTAACACCTCAGTATATTGACCATAGACATGGAAACATCAAACTTCTCACTATCAACAACTTAAGTGTTGAATAAATAATGTAAGAGAACTGAATAAAATTATGATGGCAACACACCTTACCATTCAGTTTAGACTCATTTTAATAGCACATTATTTTAAAATAGGTAAAAATCAGTCAGTTAACATTTACCAGCACATCTTCTGAGTATGAAAATCTGCACTAAGAAACATGAAGAAATAGCACCATTATTATTAGAGGATAAAGGAAGATAATCCAACTATGTAATTTTAGCTGAGTGTGATATATTAGCGATATTCTCTAAAGATATCAAGGAATTCAAATTAAAGATAAAAGTTGATGAATTCAGGATTCTAACATCCTTGTACAGAGTCACTCTTTTTACTAAATCATTTCTTCATTGTATTCTTAGAAAAATAGGAGAGAATAACTTCTTTTGAACAGTTGTTTCTCAAAGAATGTTTATCTAAGATTCACAATGATCTAAAATAAACTCAAAAATGCAGAATAGTCTAAATCCTGCATCAAAAGCAATATCCCCATCTATTATTAAGAATGAGACAGCTCATTATAACTGCAGTATCATTAAAATAGGTAAGTGACATGAAAATAACACCATGATGTGACTGGGGAAAAATCACCAGAAAGAGCCACTTGGAACATTCCTTTATTACAGCCAGGGAAAAAGTGATGGAGTGTTTAGTACCTGCAAAATTGGTGATTCATGCTATCACTCAGACTTAAAGGATATATTCCAACTACTTACTCATTGTTCCCAACACTATGACCGTAATCAATAGAAGTAAACAAAGGATCCCAAGAGTCACTGCAATGATAAGCCAGGGTACTGCAAACTCTTTAAATAAAGAAAAAAAATAAATCATCAGGGAGAGCTAGAGCGTAGCCCACTAATAACCTTCCCTGGTATACCATTTGAAACAAAGCGACAAATGTTCTCTAAAAATTTACAAAATTTTACCGTATGAAATTGATCTAAATTTGTTATCTAGTAGTTACAGCTTTAAAGTTTCAGATTTTTGACTGATGCACACCCATTGCAGAAATCCTACACACCAGAGCAGTTCTGTAGGATTTCACAGGTGCATCCATTTAGAAAGGCAAGGATGACAAAAGACATAGCAGACACTTATCAGCACCCACATTATTGTGTGTATTCCTTCCTTGCTGTGATCACAACTAATCATGAAGAGGAAAGAAAAAGCAGTCAAAAATCTTGAGTAAACGATGTCCAGTCATGGATATTCTGGTGCAGCAAATGGGATTGGGGTCCGTCCTTAAAGGTATTTCTGGACATCTACTTTCCTCTCTCACCAATTCTATTTTTCACTAGGCAATGCTGTCTTTAGCCTCCTATGTGTGTGTTCTCAGTAGCTGAAAGCTGTGTGTCTTATCATCACTATATTAAAATAGTGAGAATTATTCTCAATTTAGAGTTTAGTTGTGACAATATTTGAAAGGAGAGACAATAGACAAAGTAGAATGCCTCTTGGATTTGAACACTTATGCAGCTTCATTGCCATCAAGGCGTAGTAAACATTTAAGACACCTAAAATACCTTTTGTCTGAATAAAATCGTATTTATCATCTCTTAAACATTCTCTTAGACTTTTATTTCTCTAAAAATGCAATGTTTTCTTGAGATTCTAGTCTATTCTTTACTTTTAAAGGCCTCAAAAATTCCTGTGACCAAATTTGAATGAAAATATTTATTAGCTTCTCAAATTTAAAGAATTTGTTCATTTTTGCATTCTCACAGACTTAAAAACAATTGTTCTACTACTACGCCCTTATGGTTTGGTGTTACCATCAGAGAACCTCCAGTACAGATAAAAACTTTTTTTAACTTCGAGAGTGACAGTCCATAAGAGCCAGAAGAACCCAAATACTTCAACATATACCTTTGCCATCACTTTTCCCAGGCCTTTGGGTACCACCAGACCCTTCTCTCTTTGGTGACACCGAAGTAAACTGAAGATCGGTTGGAGTTAAATAAATTACTCCCTGATCGCTCATCTCTAGAGTATGAAGAGAAAATTTTTTGCATTAAAACCTTGCAGCAGGATGCTTTCTGTCTAAAGAAAATGTAAAATTTTAGTCTATAGAAACACATCAGAAATGAGAGATATGTTATGTCTGCCTATGCCAGGAATGTGTGTTTGTTCACTACTTTCAATGCCTAAAGCACTTGGACTGAGACTTATTTATATAAGAAACTTATATTATATTATGCCCATGATTATTAGAAACTATGAGAAGAATTTTTTTAAATATCTACTAACAGATTGAATCTGCTGGGTCCTTGTCACTTAGCCAATCTACCTCAAAATGTCCAATGTACACATACAAATGTTAGGCAAAATCAGTACCATTCTAAATGACCAAAACACCTTTAAAATTACCAATTCAAAAAATATAAATTCTACATTTTTGAAATTCAGAAAAAAATAAATATCTTGACAAAAAATATATGTTCAACTCTACATATGTTAAAGAGTTCATGAATTCTTTTCAGTTATAAAATAACTCAACCAGAGTGTTTCCCAAAAATGCATCTCATACATCATCTGCAAAAGAATTATCTGAGAGTTGACATTGCAGATTGGTTAACATTCCAGGTTCTGTTGCCCCTTGCAAGAGGTACTGAATCGCAGGTTGGAGCCAAACACCTGCATTTTTTATCCCAAAATGTACCTTAAAATTTTAGAAATAGTCTTCCTGTGTATGATGTTGCCAGAGATAGCTATGTTAATATAAAAATTTTTAAAGCAATCATTAGGTAATATCCATGAAAATGCAATATATTAATGGATATCAACATAAAAATAAATTATTACATAATAAATATTCAAAATGTACCTTGCTTTTTACATTAATCAATGTAATATGATATACAAGAAACAAAATATGAAAGACACATTGTACACATAACTCTGTTCTTTTAAATTTTTATTTTAATTTACAAAATTTTCTAAGCTTTACTATTCACATTTTCTCCAATTTCTCTAAATAAAAGTAATCTTTTCTATTACACAATCCTTCAAGATCAATAACATGCAAATCATTAAGTCCAAATTAAAAGAGATTAACCCCCCAAATCCCTCTTCTTTACTTTGATAACATCGAGCACCAATCATAGCACATTATAAGAGAAGATAACTTTCCGTGAATGCTGAACTACAGTTTCACATTCCCTTCAGAGTTGATGGGGTTCCAATGCAATCAATCGAGAATGCTTTCCTATCAACCCCATACTCATGCCCAGTCATTTGTAATTAGTAAAATGCCATATTCCTAAAATATTTTTTCTTGAATCTTTTCTTTGTACTCAGGTACAAAGATATGAGTGACTAATAGTAACTGATACCTGTATTTGCACCACGCAGTGACGCAGGTGGAGGAAGCTGATCCAAAAATGGGGTGGGAGAACTTGGCCTTTCCAATCCTGGATCCTTTGGGTGTGTGAAGACAGAAGGCAGAAATGAATTGTCTCTGACTAGCTCTCCAACTCAGAATTCTCTGCCCCTCCTCTTGACCAGAGAGGCAAAAGGAAATAGAATGATGAAAGCTGGTGATGACAGAGATGGAAAGATGGTCAGGAGCTGCGTGTTCCTTCACCTCCACAGATGAACTACTTGGTGCAGAATTGCCTTTAAAATCAACAGCTGAGAACCAAAAAGACAGCTTTTAAGAAACCAAGAACTAATATCTTTAAAATTTAGCATATCTACGAAAAACTAATAGTAAAAACAAATGATTAAAATGTAAATTTTTAAATATGTAAATATAGATATATACACAAAAAATATCATGACTAAGTTCTTTAACTCTTAAATAGCCTGTCAAAGACTTTCTCTTGCATATCACTATTTGGAAAATAAAAGATTATTTCTTTTTTTTCATTATGTTTATAGCAGAAAAATGCATTTAGAAATTATCCTAAAATATCTGTAATTCCACTGTAAAAAATGTTTGTATGTTTCTTCTAGTTTTTTATCTACACATCATCAAAATGTATGTTTTATACATTTACTATCAGTGTTGGTGCCATTTCACAAACGTTTTTTATCTATTTTTTCTAATAAAGGTTTCATTTAAAAATGTGTCTAGAATGTACCATTTTTAAAACCATTTTATTACCCACATGGGCTATGTGCTAATTTATTTTAGCAATCCCCTAATGTGGAACATTTTGCTTGTTTCCAATGTTTTGCTACTATAAAAAATTTAGTCTGTACTTCTGAATATTTTCTTAGGGAAAATCTTAAACCTGAAATTAGGGGGAGAAAAGGGTATATAAATTAAAGAACTTTGATGCATTCTACCAAATGATCTCCAAAAAAAGTTGTTCTATTTATACACCACTTGGGTGTGAAAATGTTCACCTTTGACCACTTAAGAAGAGATACTGGTGAGTTATTCCTATACTTGAGTTTTGTCTGCAAATCTTACTTCATGAATATCTCTCTACAACCTACCACATAAAACACACTTCTACAATGGTTTCTATGAGCCAGACAGTTGCTCGCGTTTCATACAGGCCTTGTCAACCTTCTGACGCACAGTTCTGTGGAGCCAGTTTAAGTTGGTTTTCGACTCGTGTTACAGTGGTTAATATGGAGTGTGGGGGCAGAGGAGGGAGGTGGGGAACTGAAGGGGGTATTAATCACGCAGAAACACCCTGACAACCTTCTTTGCTTGTTCTTTGATTCCTTTACCAACCCCTAACCACCAGCACACATCATGCTTGAGGCGGCCTCCCCACTCCTCAGCTTGCTGGTTCTCTCACCCTCCTCCAAACTAACCGCAGATGCCAGGTACTGAATGTACTGGCCCCTAGGACCCGGTTTAGGCTCTGCGGCCTGTGGCGTGGCCCTCAGCGGCCGAGTTCTGTCCTCCGGGGCAGTCTTCAATCTCTGAATCACCACTGCAATTGTCCGCGTGTCACCATGCCCAGCGGGCAGCTGCAATTCCTCCCTGGGGCTCATTGCACTCAGTAACGGAAGCAAAGTTTTCCGGGTAGAGCCTGGGCACTTCAGGAATGCTCACTGCTGGGCGTTTCCTTGACTCTTTAACCCTGGGTTGGCTTCATCAATCTCAAGACAGAGAAAAGATCCACAGCCTTCTATGCTAGAAATAGGTAAACAAACAAAGGAACACATAATTCTGCTGAAGGGAGACAGGGAGTTAGGGAGGGAGAAGTGCTAATGATTGTGGGAAGGTGGCAGAGACAGACTCATTTGCTGGAGGACCTACTGTGTGTATAAGCACATTGAAACCTTCCTAAGCTGACCCACACAGCTATTTAACAAATGAAGAAATCAATCCTGAGAGATTACTTGCCAAAGGACACGTTATTGCACAGGTGGCAAACACAAGGCCCATGGGCGGAATCTGGCCCTCCACCTTGTTTTATCTGGCCCAGCACCTTGTTTCTAGCCAGCAGCAGTGCCAAGCTCTCACTTAACTATTAAGGAGTAGTTACATGTATACAGTCCTAAAATTACATTCAGCCCTTTGAAGGCAACTGCGAGGCTGATGTGGCCCCCCGGGGAAAATGAGTTCGACACCCCTGTGTTCTTGCTAGTTCTTGACCCCTGTTTAACATCAGGCCTGAGTGACTGCATAGAGCACAGAATATGAATTTAGAAGGGCCTGGATTTTCAATAAACCTTTTGCCACAAAGCCTGAATTCTGGAACCAGAAGGTTCTGGCTGGAAATGCCAGCCCCAGTTTCCATGTGTAACTTGAGGCAAGCCCCTCACTTCTCTGCACCCTCAGATTCACCACAGTAAAGTGGTGATATTTGCCTCCCGGGGATGCCGTGGGAATTGACTGAGATGGGTCATGTGAAGAGCGTGTGCAGACCTGGCAAATACACAGTAGGCTCTCATTAAGTGTGAAATATGATTATTAGAAGTCCAAGATTCAAATCCTGCCTAGCCACAAAAATTTCAGCAGGTCCCTCCAAATCTCCAACCGTCACTTCTCTCCTGTGTTCAGTACGAGTAGTCCTCTGTAGACTCGGAAGCATTGGAGATTAGCATTTCAGATAGGATTTCTCCGACCTCAAAATAAGCCAATGCTCTTTTTCTTCTTTTTCTCCCAAGGCAGGACTACAGTCCAGAAATCTTGACACTGAGTTAGGTTCTCTATCAGGTTTGCAGTGCAGGCACTTGAAAGAGTGTTTTGTGGGAGTTGAGGATGGGGCGTGGGCCCATCAACACAATTTGTGAGCTGGGACACATAGAGCTGCATACTGCTTACCACTCAGAAAAACCACACTGGGACCTAAGGCTGGTTATCTACCTCTTACTCCCCTTGGAGGTGTTGGTGATGGTGAGCCTTTCTTCTAATGTATATCCTTAAAGCTGAAGAGAAGGTGGGTGGGTCTCACGATGAAGGCCACACAGGTGCGGAACACTTTTTACAGGCACACAGTTGTCTGAACGAACTCCACAGGGCGAGCACCATGTCGTCTTGCTCATTGTTGTCAGTGACACATGTGGAGGAGATACGACACCTACACACCCACTTGATGAATGAGGCAGTTCCGTGAAGAGCAACCAATCACCAAATCTAGACACTTTGCAGTTTCAGAGTAAGGGAGAATGAGATTAATGACTAAAAAGCCAAATTGTGTAGCTGCTCCTTCTAAGCTCTAGTTGATTTTTGGTTTGTTTTCCTAAGTTATAATTTCTAGAAAAAGTAGATTTCTTCCTAGATGAGAAGACAACCAGCATCAGAATAGTAGTAACTTCATATGGTATTTGTCTTTCACCACCTAGCTTATTTCGCTTAGCATAGCACTCTCCGGTTCCACCCATGCTGTTGTGAAGGGTAGGAGCTCCGTTTTTCTTCCTGCTGTGTAGTATTCCCTTGTGTAAATGTACCAGAGTTTTTTTTTTATCTACTTTTACTGATGGGCACTTAGGCTGTTTCCAGCACTTGCCCATTGTAAATTGTGTTGCTATGAACATGGGGGTGCATAGGTTCTTTTGGATTAGTGTTTCAGGATTCTTAGGATATAATCCAAGCAGTAGAATTGCCAGGTCAAAAGGCAGTTCCATTTTTAGTTTTCTGAGGAAATTCCACATTGTTTTCCACAGTGACTACACCAGTCTGCAATCCTACCAACAGTGCATACCACATGATCTCACCTTTAAGTGGAATCTAATCAACAAAACAAACAAGCAAGCAAAATATAACCAGAGATATTGAAATTAAGAACTGACAGTTACCAGGGGGAGGTGGGAGAGGATGATAGGGGGAAAAGGATGAAGGGTTTTCAGGAACAACTATAAAGGGCACATGGACAAAACCAAGGGCAGGTGGAATCAGGGGAGGGAGGTGGGGATGGCTGGGGTTGGGGAAGACATGGTGGGGAAAGGCAGACAACTGTACTTGAACAATAAAATATTTTTAAAAAACAAAGGACAGTAGTAACTTCAGATGAGACTGCAACTCCTAACATGGCTTTTGATTAAATGCACAAACTTGGAAGCACCAAACTTCATTTCAACCACTGTTAATAAAACAGAAAGATTATAAATTTAAGGGAAATTTTAAATGTTCTTATACTTTGTCTTCCAAATTCACTTTTGTGCAAAACACACTTATACAAGCATCATAGAAATACATAAAGCATTCACTTATTTATTTAATGGCTGCTGTGCTGCAAAGCCTTTTTCACTTGGGAAACCACACATCTTACACTTCCTTTCTCGACAACACTGTCAGCTAGAAGCTGAGCACATCACTTACAGTCACACCTTCATATGCCTGCCCACAGCTTCAGACCCCAGTTGTTTATCATTTCACAGCATCGTGCTGTTCTTCCTGTCCTCTGCTGATGAATGCCACCAGCATCCACCAGCTCCCTGCAAAAGATGCTCTACATCATTCTCAATTCTGTAAATTGTGGTAAATCTCTCAATTTTACTGTGAACCTGAAGCAGCTCTAAGTCTTTAAAAAACTTGATATGGATCAGCAGTTGAACTTACAGTACAACTGCTGTTTTCAGGTGGATCAAGGTAGAAGTGTTCTACTCAGACTGTATGTGAGCAATCAGGACCACCGCTGGGCCACATTCAAGACACAGCCGTAGCCAACATGTACGAATAGACAACTTGCAGTATGAGTGGATACATACACAAAACTCATGGTACTTGAAAGGTTTCCATAGCAACAGAAATGGGTATCTTCCATCTCAGACTAAGTTACAAGGACAAATAATCTGAAGGCAGTAACTACAAGACAACTGGTTGAATAAACTTTTACAAAGAACCTGTGATATGGAAAAGACTGTGCTAGTGCTGGGTAGAGACACTCTATCCCATGAAGGGGCAAGGGGGATGAGGTCCTGAACCAAGATTTGGAATAGATGTTTATTGCAAGTGGTCTCTTTATTATGGGACATGGGGGTGGGTACATGTATCCACTGACCTGAACACTATAAAAATCGATTGCCATAGCCCTGGCTGGTGTAGCTCAGTGGATTGAGCACCAGCCTATGAACCAAAGGGTCATTGGTTCAATTCCCAGTCAAGGCACAAGTCTGGGTTGCAGGCCGGGTCTCCAGTAGGGCACACAAGAGGCAACCACACATTGATATTTCTCTCCCTCTTTCTCCCTTCTCCTCTGTCTAGAAATAAAAATCTTTTTAAAAATTTCTCATAAAACTAGTGCTGCACAAAATTTAATTTTTAATGATTATTGTCAACCAATAGCTTACAATCAAGAGCCAGCTCAAACAAGGTCTAAGAAATCAGACAGTATAAAACATTTATCCCAACGACTCATCTTGTTTGAATGTAAGAATGTGGTAGGCAGTGGGGATGAAGCACAAGTAAATCAGCACCACAGGGAAGTTACAAATGGGGACAGAGTTAGTATCTTAAAAATGTTTTTAATCTGAGAATTATTTCTCCTCAACCTGCTGTCTTGAGTGGATCATCTTATTGAACAGGAGCCACAGACTAAAGGCTATTGTGAGGAGCAACCAAAAATTGTGGGCCCACAGGAAGTTCCAAGGGCGACTGTTTCTCCTTTTCCTAATATTTAAGTGCAAGAAAACTGTAACGTGAATGCACACTGCACATCCATCAAGGTCTACAACCTGAAGAGAAATGTTTGCTTTCTGTAAGGGACCCAAAGGTGATGACAGTGGTCTTGCACAGTGGGGACCAGGTGACTTTCCACGGCATCTGTGAGGACAGCAATTCATTTTCATGCAGTGTAAAGGACCGGATAGCACTGCACGGCCAACAGGCTACCCCGCCACGCTCTGGAGCTACACTGTCCAAAGGGAAGCCACAAGCCACATGGGACCACCTAAATTAAATCGAAATTAAATATCACTAAAAAAAGTGGTCTATTGGCACCAATTATACTAGCTATTCTACCCTTCATTGAAAAATCAACAGGATATGATTTAAGACTTATTACAGTAAAAAAAAAAGTCAATTATAGAATCTAGATTGGCATATGGATGTTCATTTTACAATTGTTTGAAATTTTTCACAATATGATGTTGGAAAAAATGCTAATTAAATAGGACTATTCGACTCCGTTACACTAGACAAATCTTAAGTACTCAGTAGCCGCATGTAGTAGCTAGTGGCTACCCTCCGGACTGCAGAGACAAAACATTCTATAATCTCAAAGAAGTGTACTGGTCAGAGTGGCTCCAGTCTAGCTGCTCAGGAGTCAAGACTGCAGAGACTAACTCTTTCATCCTGAAGTCACACCTGACTGTCCCTGGTGCAAGTGGATTTTTACCACCAGCACTGCACGTTTGAGTAGTGGGGTTCAGGTTGAAGAGTAACAGGAGAAATAATGAAAGGTCAAGTCTACCAGGGGCTGAAGGGAACTGAGAAGTATGAGTGGGGCCTATGCTCAGGAGGGGTTAAAATATAAACATACAGATACACACACACTTACGTCTAAATTTTAAGTAATTTTAAGCTGAGAGCTCACTTAGCTCCAAAAGATACACAAAATATGTATTTGTGAAATAAGAAATAAGGGCTCAATAAAAACTGTGCCTTACTTAGGGTACTGATTTTGTCATCCTTCAGGAAATCACTGCTTCTACCAAAAACATTTCAATGTAAATAATCCCTAAGGAATTTGTGATAAATGTAAAAAATCCAGAACCTTCTGCAAACAACCTCTATAATTACCAAAAACCTAAATCCCATCAGGTATGAAAGAAATAACTGCCTTTATTCTAGCTACATATTTGTACCTGAAACAATTCCTACCATAGCATGTTCCTCCTCCAACAATTTTTTATTATCTTTAAAGTGATGAGAGACATAGCCTCCTGAAAAAAGCACTCTGCACCCAGGCTTTGGAAAGTTTTATTGGAGCAAAATTTCAACAAAAGGTGTCTTTTATGTACAGAATTGACTGTGTGTGGGCACTGTCCAACCCACTTGGACGAAAGTGAAGATAACCATTAAGCCTGTTATACATTCTCTTATTTTCAATTTGTATACAAAAAATGAGTTTGCTTCACATACATAAAAATCCTGATAATGTAAATGACAAATAACCCCCCTTTACCAATCTCTTAATTAAATATAAAAACAGCTTCAAAAACATATAATTTAGATTGGTTTAATCTTGAAATGTAATCCGATAAGACTGAAAACTAAACATTTCAGGTCCTGCACCAAGTAGTAAAATACTCGAAGGCCTTCGGGATCCCTGAAATTTAAAAAGGTAAAAGTTACTTTTTTGCAATAACATAATTCTATAAGTTAATCCCTAAAACAAAACAAAAATCTAAAACAATTAAGTTAAAGGAGCCCATGATTACCATCTCTCTCTTCTCTGTAAAAAAAATGTATAAATTTTCTTTACCAGTATTCATCTCATATTTAAAGTGTTTACTTTCTTATAAGTAGCTATGCATCACAAAAATGTACAAAGCAGATAAAATTATAAAGACAGAAAAACATATTCATAGTACTATATAATGTCACTTCTCACAGAATAACTACAAACATCTTAGTGTTTCTCTATTTTTTTTAATAATTAAAATTATTCCCTGGGCCCTTTATAACATTAGTTTTTCTATTATATTAAGAAAAAATCCATAAGTAATTCTTAGGTAATTTAATAACTTTCTCCTTATTAGGCATTTGGCTATTTTTCCAATTATAAGTAAGGTTTTAATGACTATCTTTTTAAATAATTAAGCTTTTTCATTATTTGAGACTATTTCCACAGATAGACACTCAGAAAAAATTCGCCATGGTGAAAATAAGTGAAAAGATTAGTGAAGTATTAATAGCTTTTGAGACAAATTATCAAATTGCTTTCGAAAACACATTGTACCCGACCCTCGCTGGTAAGCTCAGTGGACTGAGAGCCAGCCAGTGAACCAAAGGGTTGCAGGTTTGATTTCAAGTCAGGGCACATGCCTGGGTTGTGGGCCAGGTCCCCAGTAGGGGAGGCACAAGAGGCAACCACACACTGATGTTTCTCTCCCTCTCTCCTTCCCTTCCCCTCTCTCTAAAAAGAAATAAATTAAATCTTCAAAAAAATAAGAAAATAAAAAATATTGTACCAATTTATAATCTCAGTAGGGCATGAATGCCACACCCTCATCAACTGTGGGAAAATAAATTCCATAATTTAAAAGTATCTGGTCTGTCTTTATGAACACAGTCTTTTATATCCAATGGTTATTAGACATTTGTTCCTCTCTCCTTTCCTCTAATAAATATTCAAAAAGCATCTGCTATGTGCCAGGCACGCTGCTAAATCTGGAGATACACAAGGTTCTCATGGAGTTTATATTCAAACCAGTAGAGCAAAGGAGTCATTAAAATTTAGTGATAGTAAAAGAATCCCATGGGGTATGTTAAAGGGAAAGAGTGGAAAAAATAACTGGAGGCAGAGAGGTTTTGCAGAAAAGACAAAGGAATGCGCCACAGGGACACAGAACTTGAGAAGAGATGCGTGGCCACAGCTCTGCTGGACTCTTCCCTTAATTGAAAATGAGCCCAAGCAGGGAAATGATAATGCGGGGCTGATGAGGCCGGTATCCAGCACAGTTTCTTTTAAGTTGTGTGACAGTGCCCAGCTTTTTATTAAAAAATCTAGTAAAATTTGGGCGTTATAATTCATAGTTGCCAGATTTTTTTTTCTTTTGGGAATCAATAAGTACACTGCTACCTTTTTGGCAGCAAGTCTTTCATGCCATAAAAACCAGAATTACATCTGCATAGTAAACTGATAGGGTGCCAGTGAAATAAGCTTAGCGAACCATCTAGAGCCCTAAAATGAACCCCTCTAGCAAATCTGATCAATGTAACAAAAACGCTTTAACATACTCACTTTGACTGATTTACATCAATAAGAGAACCTATTTTTGATGTAGTAAAAGAAATGTGTTCATCTCCAATTACAATTTCAAGCTCCTAAAGAAAATAAAGCAGAGAAATGTAATTAGTATAAAAATCCGCTCCAGAGACACTTCTATCCTTGCTACGGGGGTTCCCAATTTTAGCTGCAGGTTTTCTAACAGTAACAGAGGAGCAGGGGGTGGGGGAGGACCTTAATCTGTTGGACGTAAACTGTGTCTACAAAACAAAAAAATAAAAGCGTCATCAACTACTGCACAGGAGTCCCCAGCATTAAGGCTGACCAAAGTCACTCTCCCGAGATCTCACAGATTCTGTAAAATGAACAGCATCCTCAACAGTGACGCACACACGTTTCTTACAACATTTAGTGAAAACTACAGGCATCCCTCTGAGGCACAATGTGTAAAAACAGCATGTGTATAAGCCACTTTTAATAAAATAAAACACACTATCCTTTTTTACCAGGCTCCCAAAATGAAATGTGTAACATTAATAACAGCACCATTTTAATACCTACTATGTGTGAAGCCCTGCTGCTAGGGAATTTACAAATATTATCTGTAACTTCCCAAAATACGCTTGTCAAATAGACTTTATCGGCCACTTCCACAACTGTGAAACCCAAGACTCAGAAAGCACAGGACGAAACTTGTTTGTATTTACGACCACCAGTAAGTGATGGTGTTGATATCTGAATCCTGGGCTGTAAGACTGAAAGACTGATACACTTTGACTTCGTAAGACATTAAAGTTCAGAACTATTAAAATAAACATAACAAAACGTAGATGTTCCCAGTGTGCCACACTTATTGTATAATTTTTCTCTATGTTTACCTGCAAACCTAAAAACAACAATTAAAAGGCTATATCTGCAGTAATTTTTCCAGTTAAATAACAGATGCCATTCAAGATAGTCTTATATATACAACTGATCAGAAGATGGAATTATGCACAGTTTATGGCACGCACAAAATTCATAATTAACTAAAGTTCTCAAACAATCATAAAATCTTTGACTTAAAGACCAACAAACAATTTCTGGAGCATGCCTGACCCTCCCTAATAAGCAAAACACATGACCACATCATCAAGTGGGTAGATGAAAATACTGGATTCTCCCAGAGTTTTTTCAGTACATATGTACAGGTACATAAAAAAAAAAGATCTAAACTTACTTTTACAAGCGTTTGCAATCGGTAACATAAGTAATGTTACCTATTACCTTTGATTTCACAAGTAATGTTTCTTTAAATAGAAGAATTAAGTCACTGCTACAGAAGGTCAACATCTGTTTTCTCCCTATTTTCTTCCAGTCAAAGAAGGTGTTACAAAGTATAATCCTCAGGGCAAACAAACGTGAAATTAAATGTTTCTTTCTCCAAGGCTCACCCTCTTTTCCCCCAGAGTTCAAAAGGCCCAGTTCAGAAATCCAACTGTCTTTCTATTGAGGGAATCAGCCTTCAGAGCTCTCAGAAGCCCCCTAAGACATATCAATCACTCTGGGGAATATGAGAGGCAAGGACAGTGGTCAGTTTGAACAAAGAAACCAATCAAATCCTTCTCTGGAGCAAGAGATGCAAATAAGAGTTTTCAAAGTTATAAATTTGGAGAAAGTAAATTGTACATAGTCAATGAGAATCTTAAGTCTTGAATTTAACAGAGATCTATACTTATTCCTAATAAAATTAATTAACATATAATGGAAACTACAACAGTGTGAAAACATCCTAACCTTGGCTGAGTTTGGAAAGATAGCTAAAATTTAGTCGATAGCTTCATAGTTGAGCTATGCATCGACGCCTTTGCTACTAGGAGGTAGCGTAAGGCTCAGGAAAAAAAGTATTTACCAGATACCTAGTAACAGAAAACTAAAGAATCAATGCGTACCCATTATAAATAAGAAAAACATAACAATGATATTAACAATTTTAATATTTGTGCATTTACGGAATCAATAATTACAAACCTGCCGGCCAACCCTGTCAGGGGGAGGCCACAAAGCATCATCTTCTTTTGTAATTTCGCTGTCGTCAATGATCCTCTTCAGTTCTTCCATCACACTCTTGTGTACATACGCCTGAAAACAAGTTACAATAAAAACTTCAAGGTGCCTCTCGATTCCTTCTCACAACTCAGAATACAATGAGTAAACAGAGTTACAAACACCAAACATTTAAAGACAGTATCACGGAAAAATTTAATTCTGATGCCAAAGTAAAAGATGGGAGAGAATCGCTCATCCATCTCATGGTTTTTCTTCACTCTCTTGCCCTTTCCTTTAACATATATTTCTCCCTCTTCACACACTGAGCCCCCTTTTGAACCCCCTGCCTTGGTAACATAGGACTCAAATCTCCCCGAGTGGCTGACAGTGACGACCAAAAAGTCTATGAAGTGAACAGAGACAAATCCAAGTACACATCATAGTGATCTGAATTTTTGCTTATTCCTAACCTTTACACCTTTAAAATTCATGCCATTCTTAAATCATGATTACCATTTTAAATAGTGAATAGAGTAAAAAGACAAATTAATTATAAAATGAATTAAATGACATTGTCAAATGTGGAACTACAACTTATATTCAGATTGCTTCTTTTGTTGTTATTGATGCTACAATCATATCTAATTTAAATAGAATCCCTTTTCAATCTATAAATTGGCTTCCTTTGTAATACAGCCTTATATGTACTTTTGTGAATTCAGTAGAAAAGTGGGTATCTATAAAAAAAAATTAGGCATCCCAAAAAAACTTACCTCTTTTCTGATCATGACATCATTTTTATAGTTGCTGTTGTTGGCATATCTAAGCTTTCCTGTGGGGAGTGGAAAAAAATTCAATCTATAACAGCAAAACTGCTAAAAAAATAAAGAAATGACATCATAAGCACTTTTGAAGATAAAGTCCATATTATACTACTACTTTTAATATTTCTTCCCTCCTAGCAAGCATAAGACCAATCCTAGAATGCAGACACTCAAAAATTTGCTGTAAGTCAGCTGCGGTTGAAGTTAGGCAATTTTTAAAATACTCTATGCCTTCGATATAATTTTTAAATATTCAATATAATTCTTAAGTATTCTATGCCTTCAATATAATGGGAAGGCCATTTTTAAGTCTCATTTTCTTAAGCTGTGTCCTAAACTAGAAAAAGGAACAAACATTTATTTTAAAGTTCATGTTGTATGTTTGCACTGGCAAGAACTGATTAGCCCAGAACATTTAATCTAATCACTTACACAAACTTAAGAGGACACTTTTCTTCTCCCACTGACTCACCGTTGAGAAAACAGAGTTAAGTAACTTGCCCCTCAGGGTCACACACGATACAGATCCAGGTCTACCTTCTTTCACTACTCATGCTGCCCCATTACTCCAAAATGGTCTCTTTTTAATTATTTTTCTTCAAATTAATGTATGTATAATACTATGGCAACGCTAATATTTTAGAATTGTGATTAAAAAGCATACAAACTATGTGCTGCTTCTACATAAAAGTTGGCCAGTTTGTTTAATTTTAATCCATCGTGACTTTGCACTCCCTGAGGTATGATTCTCGTCAAGTCAGTTAGCCAGGAACACAAGTAACGTGGTCCTGATCTACTAAAATGACAGGTACACCTAACCACGAGGTGAGCCCCTGAGGAATCACTGCGTTTGTGACTCACTGTTATGGATGGAAGTGTGTGGATGGGGCAGTGACAGATAAAAGGAGGAGAGCCACTGTTCTGGCGTGAAAGTTCTCTGATAATATTAGACTACTTAATTTATGTTAATGGCTAAAGCCTATTATGCTAATAGGCAAAAACACTGAAAACAGTATCACATAAAAAAAGAACAGATGGAAAATTTATATAAACTGGTTCCTCAACTAATTTAGATGAAGCATAGGGAGAACAAAGGGGAATAAGGCGATTACAGCTTCTAAATCATTGCACAGCTGTCCTTACATTTCTGCCTGAAACGGAAATGTCTGGTCCTCTTCCCCTTTCCTAATGTGTGATCCTCCCCTAATTTTTCCTTCATGCTCTCATAGAACTTTGTCCAAAACACGGACATAACACTTAATACGTAATATCCACAATGATTTACGGTTAGTTTCATGTCTGTGTCACCCACCAAGTCATAATTCATTGTGGGAAATTAAAAAGTCTCATTCATTACTGTATCCCCGGTTTTTGTATTTGCATGTTGCCCAACAAATAAAATGCACAAAAAAAAGAAACGTCTGCTCCCCAGCTAAGAAAATATCTATTTCAAGAGTGATTTCAACTGTCGCCTACCTTAGGAAGTTTTCCCCACTCCTTCATGCAGAACTAACCGCACCCCTCTTTTGTATTCTTAATGCGTGCTAGAGAGAACTGTATTTCAGCACCCAAAACGGATCCTTAACACTCATTTTTCTAAATATTGCCCCCCCCTTCGGGGCGGGTCTTACTCGTTTATGCTGCCTTACGTAAAACGTCTGAATGAATAATAGATGAATGACTGCTGGTCACCGTAAGACTTTAAGCCTCCATTAGATCACTTGTTGAGGGTATTCTTTAAAATGTTCCATTAAGTAGATAAACTACTCCTGTAAGGACCTCCCAGTGAGCTAACTCTAGGATGCTAACTGCTGTGGATTCACCTTTACTATCTGCCAGGACTAGCTTTTCTAAATTAATTTACACCGATTACTTTCCTTTTATTCACAACCAGTCCACGCCCCTTGTATTCTCAAGCTCCTATTTATGTGGCCAGAAGCAGTGGTCTCAGCCCCCGCGGAACACTCGCCGCCCACAGGGGCCGCTCGCCCCACTCCACCTCCTCCGCTCACCGTCCGGACGGAACTCGAACTCCAGAAACTCGTGTCCAAACTTGCCCTTGTGCCCCACATAGTAGCGCAAATAGAAATCGCTAGCCAAAGCCATATTTCTCCGCAGAGAGACCGCCGAAGGCTCGGCCAACGTGCCGCCCGGCGCCCGGCAGTGACGTCAGTGGCCCAGGATGAAAGCGTCACTGAGGGCGCGCCTCTCCCGCCTCCCGGGACCCCAGAGAAAAACGTGGGAGGGCGACTGGGCTTTTCAGTCCCGAAGCGGCTGGAGAAAGAATAGCAGTGACCTGAACTTCGCGTTGCAGGGGGTAGAAGCGTGTTATTTTCAGAATTAAGTAAATTATGTTATATTAGCAAAGTATGGAAGCATGAAAGTAGGATAACGTGTTTTATAGGGCGAGAACTAGAGTTTTCAAGTCGCATTTACTTTCCGGGTCTCATTCTCCCGGCGTTTTGAAAGTTGGGTGCAGCATTACTCCCCTCTAACTGGTGGGATGAGTAAAGCTAAACCCGGATTGGGGATGTTAGACCGGAATACTGCCCTTCCCCCTCCAAGGTTTCTAACACAGGCCTTTCCCCTTTGGGCTTCCCAAGTGGCAACTTGAGACCTTTAAATAACAGAGACAAAGTAGACAGAATCCATGAAACAGGAGCGCTGAAATTGTGAACACACAGAAAGTGAAAATCCCGACATTCGTATATAAAGAGGACTTTGTTTTTTAATAATGAAACTTCTTTCCATTGGTAAGGGTTAAGCTTTAGTGCCCTGTGGAGTTGTGGCAGTAGCAAGATCAAGTGAGTCCAGTGTCGTATTTCACAGAACTCAAACAAATATTTCAAAAATTTATGTGGAATGACAAAACACCCCACATATCAACAGCAATCCTGAGGAATAAAAACAAAATTGAAGGAATCAGACTGCTTAATAGCAAACTATACAATAAGGCCTATTCAAGACAGCATGTACTGGCATATAAACAGACATACAGATCAAAGGACAGAATAGAGAGCCCAGAAATAAACCCTCCCCTTTATAGCCAACAGTTGACAGAGACAGCAAGACATACAATGGGCTGAAGAAAGTTTATTCAGTAAGTGGTGTTGGGGAAATTGGACAGATACATGCAGAAAAATGAAACTACACTGCCCTCTTACTCCACACACAAGAACACATTCAAAATGGATTAAAGACTTAAATGTTAGACCCCCAAACCATAAAAATCTTAGAATATATAGGCAGTAAAATCTCAGACATTGCTCATAGCAATATTTTATCATATCTCCCCAGACAAGGGAAATAAAAGAAAAAATAAACAAATGGGACTACATTAAACTTAAAAGTTTTGCACAGCAAAAGAAAACATCAACAAAATAAAAAGACAACCCAGGAATGGGAGAACAAATTCACCACTACATCTGATAAGGAATTAATAGCCAAAATTTATAAAGAACTTACAAAATTCAATACCCCCCGCAAAAAAGTAATAAATCCAATTTAAAAATGGTCAAAAGACCTGAATAGACACTTCTCCAAAGAGGTTATACAGATGGCCAATAGACATATGAAAAGATGCTCAATGTCACTAATCGTTAGAGAGACGCAAACTAAAACCACAATGAGATACTACCTCACACTTTTCAGAATGGCTATCATCAATAAATCAACAAACAACAAATGCCGGAAAGAATGTGGAGAAAGGGGAACCCTTTTGTGCTATTTGTGAGAATGCAGAGTGATACAATCACTTTAGAAAGCAATATGGAAATATCTCAAAAAATGAAAAATAGGTCTGCCTTTTGACCCAGCTATCCCACTTCTGGGGTTATGTACAAAGAAACCCAAAACACTAATTCAAAAGAAAATAAGCACCCCTAAATTCATTGCAGTGTTACTTATAATTGCCAAGATATGGAAGCAGTCCAAGTGTCCATTAGTAAGATGAGTGGGTAAAACAACTATGGGACATTTACACAATAGAATATTACTTGGCAGTAAAAAAAGAAAATTTTACCCTTGTGAAAACATGAATGGACCTGGAGAACATTGTGTTAAGTGAAATAAGCCAGTGAGAGAAAGACAAATACCATATGACTTCACTCATATGTGGAATCTAATGAACAAACTCAACGAACAAGCAAAATAGAGACACTCTTAGACAGAAATCATGATGACAGCTAGAGTGGGGGAAGTTGGGAGGTAGAGGGACTGAGCAAAAAGGACTCATGGCCATGGACAATGGTGTGGTGATTGCAGGGGGAAGGTGGGGTAAAAGAGGGTTAAATGGTAATGGAAAAAATACAATAAAAATTTTAACAAATACAAATTTTGATATTTTGAATATCAAAAAAAAATAGATCAAATGGCTTAGCTCACGTTTCTTACCAGACAGAATTAAACTGGGGAAGTAAGGAATGCTCCTGTGCGGGATGAGTTTTGACTGACAGTGAAGAATAAGGTGAACTTTTACAGAAAGTTTATGTTTCACCCACTCTTGATTATCCTTCTTTTACCAACGTACAGAGGGAACTTGTCTGTTGATGACCTTTAGCCTTCAGTGGGCTTCAGTAAAAAGAACGGCAGTCCGAAGACCTGGGATCATTCCCAACACTTACCTCTACCTAACCTCCTTTAAGTCACTGTCTCTAAGCTTATTTGTTCATCAACCAAATGAATATATTACAATCAACTTGACCAAGCTCATACAATTGTTGAGAGCATAAAATAACATATATGTAAAATGATTTAAAATTTATAAAGCATTATACAATGAGCTTTATAGCAGGTTTTCCTATGTGCCAGAACTGGTTATACACTTAATAGAAAAATCAAATCCTGGAAATACCTGGTATAGCTGGTAAATCAAAGATGCCAGACATATAATATCCCTCTTGGAGAAAGCCTGGCAAAGTGAGGAAAAGACCTAATTTTCTTTTTGTTATAAGTGTGTGTGGGTGTGTGTGTACATTTTATTACTTTTTATGCCATTACAATTGTCCCAATTTTTCCCCTTTACACCCCTCCACCCAGCCTGCCCCTCACTTCCACAGTCAATCCCCACACCACCGTCCATGTCCAAGATGCAGTTTTCTGAGAATAAATAATTTAGTGTATCCAGTGTTCCAGACCTGAATCCAGAAAAACAAAATCATGGGTAAAAATTTAATATAGCAATTATCTGGTTCTTTTCCCCTTCCAAAAGCAAATATTAACACATGGTATGAACGAACAATGTCATGACGTCCCAATTTCCTCTTACCTCACTGTGCTCCCACCCCACTTGCCTCTTGTCAGTTCTACAGTTTCTTGCCTCAGAATTTCCACACACGTAGTCCTGGAAGTCTCTCCTCAGTCTGCCAGGCTGACTCACGCATCCCTACGGTCTCACTTTAAATGCCATCTCCTCAGGCAGCCCCTCTGTTTTATAATCCCTCCTACTAGCTTACACTTTTCTTCATAGCACTTAAGTACAATGTGTAATTTGCAAATATTCATACAAATATGTGCATAATGTCTTACTTTGTAGACTGTGCTCAAAAGCTATTTCTTGTATTCAACACCTAGTACAATATCTGGCAGTGTTGTCCTTAATACTCAGCTTTAAAAAAATATTTCAATAAATAAATACTGTGTAAATTTGACTCCAAAGAACAGCCTAGAAGCAATGATGAGATCCCCTGAGGCTTTATCAGTTTGTGCCAAGCCGCTCAACCTCCCTTCACTGTGCGGCCGCTTACCATCCATTTCAATTCTGACGAGTCACTGTGGCATTCCTGAGGGCGTGAGAATCATTATTTAGTTGGATGACTCATCATGACTCCATCAGGATCTTAACTTCTACAAAATAATTCAGCTGCCAGTCATCTTTCCTACAGGAGGCTTAGATGTCCTTCCTAGAGTGCCTCGAGCGAGCAGTCTTTAAAATCACAGATCACATGTCAGCTGAATTGCCACCATCATAGTTTCAGTATTTTGCAAAGTAGGAGACTACTGTCGTCCTCCAGAAGCTCTCATAAAAATGATGACTTCAACCTTTTAGTCACGTGGCGCTTGAACCACAACATTGCCTTTAGGTATATGGGACTGATGACCAAGGTTTCCTTCCTGGCCAAGTTAGATTTTAAACAAAAAAGACATAAAAGATTCTAGGACAGGAAGGAGGAAAAAAATTAACATTTACTGAGCACGTATTATGTGCCAGATCCTATACAAATACTCTCATTCAGTCCTCACAGCAACCCTGTGAGGTTGAGTATTACACCCATGTTATGTTTTTCTGGCAATGTAGATTATCTCTTGAATTTTTCTGTCGACATTAACTTCCATTTATTTACTTTTATCCTTGCTACTGTAGAGATTTTAGCAGCTGTATACCTGAAAACCCACTTTCATTCAATAAATATTAATTTAATGAAATAAGTTTCACAGTACATCAATGGATGATTGAAAATAGGAAGCTACTATCCTTTCTAAGATATCCTTTGCTAGGCCTTGTTAAACACCTCCTGGCCTACTAAGCATTCTTGCTTGGCTTCCGCATTTTCTATTTACTAAATGCACACCATATATTAATCATCAGCCTCATTGGACTCAGTCTCCTTAGTCTTATAGGGACCAGGAAGCCAGCCTGATTAAAAAAAAATACATGTTGAAATGTTCTTAATCATACAATGATTAACTCATACAATGATTAAGGTCCCCTCTCTAGCTTCTAGTTAAAAATAGCATCAACAGGGCTCACCTGCCTCAGCATTAGGTAGAAGGGGACCATGTTTCTCTTACCTACGCCCCGGGGATACTCGGAAATTTCCCCTTGTGGTTCTCCTCCAGCCCTGCCCGAAGGGACCATTACGCGGAACGTCACGTCTTTCCTCCAACTTGTCTCTGAAGGATGACCTTGGTCCACATCTATATCTCTGAGCAAACAGAACCTTTCATTTTCTTTCTCATCAGCTCCCTTTTTGGCTTTCTATTTCCTCATTCAATTCTAATTTCCCTGGACCTTATAATGGTCTAGAAAAAAACATACTTCAAGAGGAAACTAGCCTGTGGTGAGAGGGGCCAGCTTGTTTGTGCCGTGGCCCCCCAAAATGGCAGGTTTCTAGAACCTCCTTTGTAGCACCACTGTGTGCCATTTCTACCCTGAGTCTTTAGGACTGGGACAGCATAAAGGAAACTGGATTTTGTCCACCTAAAGGATACAGGTGCGTAGCGTCTCACCCAGCATCATTTCACATGTCTAGGGAAATGTGTAGGGGGAGACCCAGGCTCCCCGTGACCCTTCTCCCTTTGCGTCCCACTGGAAAGTCCATCCTCTGTTCTCAGAGGAATTGGTTCCTAGAGTAAATTATCTTGCATAAATGTTCGTGCCCCCGGATCTTCAAAGGATGCTGTAGCTGTGGGAAAGGCTCTCCACGCTGATGCCTGCCACAGCTGCATACAGTTCGGGAACCACCAGCTCTGGTACTTGCAACACAACTTTGTCATCCGCAGTCTGAGCAGCAGTGTTTACGCGGGAGCAGAGCTCTCTAAGAGAGGGGCGGCTGTCCGCTTTCCAGCGCCAGCAGGACTTCATAAGACTGTACCTGAAAGGGAAACCAGAAAAACTGACTGGCTTGGCAAGGCGGTTATATGAGGAACACGTCTCCTCACCTAACCAACCTTAACAAAGCACCCTGCAGTTCTTTAATCTACTTCTCATTGTCCTGACTACTCTATTCTCCCCAGAGATTAATACTCATCGTGTCTTCTTAATACTGACTCTCTTAATGTCACCTTCTCAACAGAGCCCTTTTTATCACAGGAGTGACTGAAGACTTTTCAGGCTACAGTCAGAATAACAGCAGTTCTCCCCCCATTCTATCGACAAAAGCTCTTTCAGAAATTGCGCTCTCATCTTTAGATGTTACTAACTTGCGGCACTCCAGACAGTTGCTAGAACTTATCTACCAGTAAAAGGTACACGACAGACAGGAAAATAAGAAGTTATGGTACAGCATAGGGAATGTAGTCCATGATATTGTAATAACTATGTATGGTTATGAGTCGGGTACCAAACTTACTGAGGTGTGCACTTCATAGGTTATGTAAATGTCTGATCACTACGTTGCCCCCTGAAACTAGTGTATTGTCAACTGTAACTGAAAAATAAAAAATATTTAAAAACATACAAGAAGTTATGGGAGATTATTCATATTAATTTTGGATAATGCAATTAGGTTTTCCTTCCATTAATCCAGGTCATCCCGACCTTTTGTAATTGACCTTCCAGAAATTGTTTTAACCTAAATAAAGGCATTTACCACCTTCAGACTAGCTTTTCTCCAGTCCGGTTTAGAGCATGTGTAATGCTGTTTTCACCTTCATCACACCTCATCCCTGCTGAAGAACTCACAGAGGTTCCCCACTGCCTACCCTATGAAGTCCATAGCCTACCACTAGCTCCTCTACCACATAGGCCTTGCCTTAGTGAAGCCTTCTCCTGGCCGAAAGCCCAGTCGGAGTCTTGCTAGGCCCTAGAGGTGGTTATTGACACCCAATTCTGCTTTGCTCATGCTGTGCCCAACTCCTTGAATGTCCTCTCTGTCCTACTGGATGGTTTTAAATCTCAATTCCTCTGTGAAACTGTCCCTTGTAAACCTCAGCCCCTCACTGCGTTTCCCATGCTCACGAGTGTTGTGCAATGAGACTTTATGAAAGATGCTGCTTGAATAGAACTGCTAATATTTAAACTGATTGTGTAAGGCATGGAAGTGGAACTAACACACATTGTTTCATTGTAGCTTCACAATAACTTTGAGGTAGGATTACCATCATACCTATTTTAAAATAGGAAAACAATATATAGTAAAGTAGCAGGACTAGAACTGAACATATGTCTTCTCAACTCTGAGATGAGTCCGAGCTTTTAACCATTCTATTTATTGCCTGACATTTTATGATTATTTTCATATTGTTTCAGATATCTCATCTGATGTTAAGTTTTTCAGGATTAGCTACTTTATCGGTTAAGTGTCTCCCCCAGTATCAAGGACAGCCTTTCATTCATAGAAAGCTTGCAAGAAATACTTGTCAGCAATTTGATTCCAGAATGCCTAGCTAGCATCACTACACTAGGTATATTTATAGTTACAACAGTTAACATTTATAATGTGGTTGATATAGTAAGTGTTTACTGTATGGAAACCCACCTTAAAAATTGCCCTTTCAATGCTGAAAGATTTACAAAATAGCAACAATTTCAATGGAAATAGATAATAACATGTTATAGTCTCTACTGCCTTCTCATGAATAATTTAATAGTTTCTTATGTTCTGTAACCATCTCTTCTGTACTTCTGTGCTTACAATTTCTTCCCACCTCCTTCTTCCAGTTGGCTTCTAATGTGCTCAGAGCTGAAAAGTCAGATAGTCAGATAGTCGATAGTTTCTGAAAGTGAAATCCTAAATAAGAGCCGATGCAGTGGATTTTATGATGGCTGCGTTACAGCTGAGGCTGGCGGTCTCTGACTGAGACGGACACCAAAACAAATAAGAGACCACTGTACATGCACTGCATCTGGTCTGCTTCTTACCTGTTTTAGAAGCTTCTAGAAGAACTGAATTCTATCAGATTTAGATTCCTAACATAGTCCTCAGTGGTTGCACACTGTGTGTGGGTACACACATATACATTATGCATATGTATATGTAGTATATGACATATAAGCAGATGTGTTTTACCGCACAAGTTTGGTATAGGGATGTACATTAGCACAGAAAAGACAGCTAGAAGTGATGGCTGAAAAGAGCATGATGGATAGGGAGCAAAAGGGATTTGGAATGAGAAGAGTAGGCCTTAAAAGCCACTTACATGGTATGTGTGCAACTACTGGGTCTCTTCATGACTTCCCCTCTTTGGAGATGCTGCAGAATGCTGATAGGGGGGACTTCAGGATACGGTGGTGCCCCTGTTGGTATGGAAAGAATCAGAGTAGCGAGAGAACTTTAGCTGCCCTAGAGTAGAAGCTAGAACTAACACTGCTCTCCATCCTCCTGGGCCAATTGCCTGCAAAAGGTAAGTAAATATAAACCGTAAGAAAAAGACTAGATATAATATAGTTGCTCCACAGTGATCAAGCATAGAGATAGCCTAGAGAAACTTGGTGCAGTGAAAGTGTTTGAGGGAAAAACTGATAATTCAGGAGAATGTTGAGTCACTAAAAAAGTTAACAAGATAAAGCAAAGAATAATACCTGCCGGCCATTCCCCTAATGAGGGAAGGTACTGCAGTTTCTCAATCAAATGGGTTAATAAATCTGAAGACAACATTTTTATGTTATTGAGGATCACTCTTGGAATTACCTTTTGTATTTTAAAACATCCTTGGAATTGGTCAAGTGTTGAGGGAAGAAAAAGAGAAAGCAAGCAAAAGAAAGTTAAAAGAAGGATTTCATGTCAGCCCAGCTCGAGCCTCAGAGATGGTACTGAAACCCTTTCCAAATACCCATGTCCTCCATCACTCAAAGAAACATACTGCACACAGGTACATACCTAGTGTCACCATTTCATAAAGCAGGATACCAAAGGACCATCTGTAAAAGAAACAGTCATTTACTTCATTTCTATTTCTGCCTTTCCTAAAGAGAGCCCACTTAAATACCGGACGCCTTCAGGAAAAGCGCTATAAAGAAGGGAATGAAAGGGCACAGAGGGTGTCTGATAAAGTGACCCAAATAACAGTGCCATCAGAAAGCATTTCTGTCCAGTTCCCTTGGAGTCCAATCTCTTTGAGGACAGGATTTATGTCTCCTTTTTTCCCTATATTTCATAGGAATAGGTGTTTACTATTATTGACTAAGTGATGGGTGTGTGTTTACATGAACACATAAACACATTCACCCAAACAGAAATTCCCCTCTGCACAGCTTGCATCCTTTTTATTCCTTCCAGCTGAAATTCTAGACTTTATTCTTAGCACAAGGCCAAGTGAGATTTATAATTCACCTACTATTCCCTCAGGAGATCTAGTAGCCCAAACCTAGAATCAATGTTAACAGAACAAGCTTGGAATACATATTTCCCTAAGCAATATAATTTGAAAGATGTGTATTTCACTACTCTATGACATCATCATTAAATGAATACTATTTCCCAGTTAAGCTTAATACTCTCCGATTTCTATTGAAGAGCAGGCATCAGTGAGGCAGCAATGGAAGTCTCTAAACCATAATTAACTGACATTGTAAATTTTCTCTGTCATTCATGACATTGACAACTAGTAAAATAGTCTATGCTACATCTATGCAATCTCCAAGCACTTGAGTTATATGGTTACCCAAAGTTAATTGCGATTCTTCACAGTCCTGTTTATTACAGTCATGCACATAATTATGTAATCAATTAAATGTTTATTATGCACATTAATTCAATATAAATTCAAGAACACATTAGCTCCCTGAAAAGTAAGTGAAATACTTTGAATACTTTGAAAATTTTCTATAAAAATAAGCTGCTGAAAAGGAAGTGGTATCAAATTGTGTGGGTGACACAATTGTAAAAATTAGGAAAAATAACAATAAATGTGTGGTCAAATTGCTTCACATATGTTTTCAAGTTTCTCATTTAAAATCATCCCAATATGAAATGTAAAAATAATTCTCTATGGATACATTCAAGAAACAACATGTAACACCACTTTGCAGGTCCATCCTCATAAAAAAGGCCTTGGCCCTCCTCCAAAAGATCAATAAATACTCATCTATATGTTTTAAGTTAAATTATTTGGCATATGTATACTTCTTTCTATTTTAATAATTCCTGATTTAACTAGGCTTTCGATTAATTGCACCCACATCCTTCAGATAGAAAGGACTTTACTAGGTATCATTGTGAATAATCTTTTCATTTTTCTTTTTGCTTTCTTAATTAAGGCTGCTAATCTAACACAGAAGGAATATTTCAAAGGCACTGAAAAAGGTTGCAGCAGATGCCAAATATGAGCTCTGTCACATGACACACATTTCTGCTTGAGAGTCTGTCTGACTTCTAATTAGAGATCTCATTCATAGACATAATTGGCAACAGATGCTGCCACGGGCAGGAACCAGGGGGCACGCAGGTCAAGAAGGAAAGAAATCCAAAGGGCAGGAACAAGCCGTACATGTCTCCTTGGATGCCAGCTGGCCTCAGCAGCAGCCGTTCTGGGGCGAGCCACTTGAGAGGTATGGTGCGAGCAGGGGAGATAGCCCCCTGGGTGTGGACTTCATAAGCCAGGCCCAGTCCACAGAGCTTAGCAGTCAGGTCACATTGGATCAGAATATTGCGGGCTGCCACATCCCCATGGAACAGATGTTTATCCTGAAGAAATTCCTGTCAATATAAGATCAAAGATAGACCAGCTGTCTGAGGCCATGGCTGGGATCACACCCGAGAAGAAGCGGTGCTAAGAATCATCAAAAAGGCAAGAACATTTGCTACTCCAAACAATTCTCATTAATACTGATATATATATATGTGTGTGTGTATATATATACGTATACATATATATATATATATATATATGCATACAATGTCCAAGCCATGATAGTGAACCAAACATTTTGCAATTCTCCAACCAAACGTGTTCTGAGCCAGTATTTCTCATGTGTGGGGTTTTTTTAGCTATAAAATTGTTTAGTATTACCAAACTGCACAAATAATCCAAGTAACATTAATACTCAGTTTGGAAAGTCTAGTCACCTACTGGGCGTCCAGCCCTAACCCCTGCCTGACTCCATCCCTCTCTTAGAGAGGAAAAGGGAGCAGGGGTCAGGTTTCCAGCAGCAGTCTCCAAACGAGGTAATGTGCACATAGGGAAACTCAGGGTCATAACGATACATCATATGAAGTTTTATCTCACTTTAATCCTAAAATAACAAGGTGAGATGTGCTAAGGAAGCATCTTTTAGGTAAATCTAAATGATTACCCAAGGCCACAGGCCACACAGTTTCAGCCAGGCTGAACATCAGAACTGCCTAAGAGCTTTCTAAAAATAGAAGAGTTTTACTCCACATTTACTTGAATGAAATCTAGGCAAAGGGGCCTGCTGTTCATATTCTGAATAACTCTTTAAGTGACACTAAGCACAATCAGCAAGGCATTTGAGAACCTTCGCACCTGGATGCCACTGGGTTGCTGGAATCACTTGCCCCAACGCCAAGCCATCCAAGGTGTACGCAGAAACTGGAAAGCTCTGCATGACCAAGGGACCAGAGACTGAGGTCTACGATTACCAGATAACATGATAGGGAAAATGAAAGATTAAGATGGCAATTTCCAATCACTGATGAGGAAGGAAACAGTGACGAACAATCTTCTCTCCCTGGTGCAGTTTTAGAACAAATAAATTATACTATAACGAGAAGAATTAAATAATGTAGTAACTCTGGGGCTGCAAAAAGTAGGAAGAAAAGAGTATGATATTATCTTCTAACTGGTAACCTAGGGTCCCAGTGAAAGCATCCATGGGATCAACGCTTCCCAACAGGACACCTCTGCTTTTGTGGTTCAGAATACACGGAAGGTGGTATGCTGACGCCCCAACTTTATCAGCGAAATATACCAACGGGGCCCTCCAAACCCCAGAGATAATATTCAGTAATGCGATGTGCTCTCTCCCCAGCCCCGCGGGAACCTCAATTCTAACTACCGCTCTTTTCTCATCTCACTACTTCTTCTTTTCTAAGTTTCCCCTTATTGCATTTAGGTCCCCACTACATTTCATACCTCCAGATGGCAGAATACGTAAAGTAGAAACTTCACAGCTTTTCTGTATCAAATTTGTTATAGAAAATTTCTTATGTTTTTATAACAAATGCTGTTTTAAAGGTAATTCTCTAAATAATTTTATAGGCACAGTCATCTAAATTTCCTCAGCGATTTTTCTCTTTTTTGAAATTAATTAGTTAATTAATTTTTAGAGAGAGGGAAAGAGAGGGAGAGAAACTTCAGTGTGTGGTTGCCTCTCACATGCCCCACAGTGAGGAGCTGGCCCGCAACCCAGGCATGTGCCCTGACTGGGAATCGAACCAGCGACTCTTTTGTTTGCAGCCCGCGCTCAATCCACTGAGCTACACCAGCCAGGGCAGGGATTTTTTTCTTAAACCTTGAGTTCTTCTTTCTTTTATCTCTTTATTTAAGTTGGTTTAAAAATAGGAATGATCTTCCTATTATCCCTTCTTATTCCTGCTCTCCCATTTGTTCCTTCTTTTTAAAGTACATGGATCCCTGTTACATTCAGTACCAAAGCAGGTCTCCAACCAGACGTGTTCCGAACTAGTGCTTCTTGTTTTTCAGGTCTAAAATGGTACACTTCCTCCTGGGTCTGTAGCCTTTTGCCCATTTACTTTATCTTCTTATATCTTTTCCCAATCTGTTTCCCTATTTGCCCTTTTTACATCTATTAATATTCCTATGTATAGGGAAGTAAGAGTATGAAGCCCTGGTTTTCAAACTTTAAGACTGAGAAACTTTTTAAAACCTTTCCTGCTCTTTCTAAAAACCCTAAAGTGACTACTGTCCACCCAGAATGACCAATCCTATAGGATACTATCTAACCATTTCATAAAGAAAGAACTGAAAATAATGTTTCAGTGCTTAAGCTTCCACCTTCTAACTCCCATCTGGTTTTCCTTATAATATATACTTCATTTAGGAACATAAGTATGAAAAATATGGCATCAAATGCCAGACTAACAAGAAAAATCCCGAAGGTCTGCCATCCTTTGGCCCAGCTTACCAAAGCCGAGAGGACCTGCTTCCCAATGTGATACACTTGTTTTTCCGTGATGTCGTAGAGAAGCCCATCCGTGGTCATCACATCCTAAAGAGACAGAGAAAGGCATTATATCAAGATGACGTGAACAGATTGGAAAAATAAATATGGGCAGAGATATTCTTCAATGCAGATATAAAAACTAAGAAAAAATACTAAAATAGAACTGTAAGATTCAAGGACAGACTGATATTAGAGAGTCTCAGATATGTAGAGAGACACAATGATTTATTGGACTGGAGAAAAATATAAGGAATGTAGGTGAATAGCAGAATGCAGGAAGAATTTCTTACAGAATAGCAGGTAAGAAAGCACCAGATAAAGCATCAATTGTACCCTGGGGTAGTGGGTGTGTGTGTTTAATTAAGCACAGTAACCCGACACATTTTTTTTTGAATGTCTACTATGTGCCAGATTCCATTTTAGGAGCACAACATAAGATTAAACAAAATAAATATGTCTGCTGGCCCCTGGAGTTTATAGTACGGCCAACACAAATAACTCAAAATCAAATAATCATATGCAAATGTACAATTACATACCCATAAGTACCATGAAGGGAATGTAAAAGACAGCATATGATGGTAGGGGAAGGAGAACCAATTCAGTTGTTGAGCAAGGAAAGCCTTGGATGAGATTGGAAGGATGAGTGGGCGTTGACCATACAAAGAAGAGAGGGGAGAAGTCTGGTGTAAAAAGGGGAGAAAAAGCCTGCAAAGATAATCTGAAAGAGAGAAGCCTAGTAACACTGAAAAAAACAGAAAAAAGCTGGTGAGGCTAGAGCACAGAACAAGTCACAGATGGATAAGCTCTTTAAAAGGGTTAAAGCACCTAGAGACTTGTGCAGGGTCCCATTTGTGTCACGAGGTGGGAGACGTCAGCTGGGCCCCTTTTTGTGCACATTTAGTGGTAAAAGAATTAGCACAATGAGGAGACCTGTTTAATATCAGTCTTTCTCACTGGCAAGTAAAGAACTAAGTAAGGAAACATGTAGTGCATCAGAAAGAGGGATATATAGAAAAGTAGGGAAATTGAAAAAGATTTGTACTTTCGGTGGAAATTAATTTTTTCATGTATGAGTTTGAGATACAAAAGCTTAAAAGATGAATCCCTCCTCAGCTCAACCCTGGCATAGTAGGGGGATGTTACAGAATGGAAAATACAACAACAATCAGTAATAAATAGTTATGTTGTTATGTAATTGTCATTATAACAGCTATTATTTTGAGTGTTTGCCATTACCAATGACTGCTATGTTCTTACATATGTAATTTCTTTAATGTTCATAGTAATTTATAATTACTCCCATTTTACAGATTCAGAAAACGCAGGCTCAGAGAGACAACTTGCCCAAACGCACGCAGCTGGTAGGAGATGGAGCCTGGAGCCTACACTGTGAATCTGCACTGCCAGTGTGGTAGTGGCCACTGGACACCTGTGGCTATTTAAATGTGAATTATTTAACATGACATGAAACTAAAACTTCAGGTACTCAGTCACATCAGCCACATTTCAAGTGTTCTATCGCCACATGGGATTAGTGGCTACCATATTGGACAGCACAGATATAAAACACTGATATCACCATAAGAAGTTCTATTGGGTGATGACGCTCAATTACTCTGTATGCTATTATACTATCTTTCTACTTTGTTACTTGTCAGGCTAATTGACATGTGAACATCTAATCAGCCAGGTAAAGCGTTTCCTTTCTAACACCTCCACCCTACTGCTCACCCGGCGGCAGGTCCAGAGAAAGCTGAGCAGGTCCCCCGGGGCCACATCCTCCAACACCATATAGAGCGGCTCTTGTTCTGTGCAGCAGCCGTCCAGCTGCACCAGGTTCTGATGCTTCCCCAGGTACTGATGGAATTGGATTCGCCCTAAGAAATCCTGTACCTCGTGGAGCCCAGCTGGTTCTGTGGAGAACAGAAGAGCCGTTGGCAGCGACAGTCAGAACATCTTGGATAAAATGAGAAATTTGAGGCAGGAGGCAACCTCAGATGATAATTCTCAAAGCCTTGAAAATGAGTGAATATTGACAAAAAGTAAATAGGAAGGGAACAAATTAGATGATATTCACTGATCTTTTGTCAAAGGTAACATGGAATCATACGTCTTACAACTAGGTAGGTTTTCATCTGCCTAAAGAGGCAAGTGTTCTCTTCGTTTTAAAATGTTATCATGGCCTAGGCCTTTTAATTACTGTTCTTGCTTATTCTATGTTTGTTCTATGCATCAACCATTACTAGCCCATATTATGAGAATCAGCAAAAAATACATATGTATAAGTAAAAGATATCAAATAATGAAGAAAAATAAACAATCATCCTCAACATCCTCATCCAATAATAGCCAATGTTAAAATCAGTTTGAACAGCCTTGATAGGCAAAGTTGAGCTAAGGAAAGACATTTCTTTTTCTTTTTTCTTTATAAACAGTTCCTTCATAACGGAGGAATAGGTCTCACTCCAGGTATGCGTCAGGGGTAAGACCTCAGAAGTTTTTTTATTATTGATTTTTTTAGAGAGAAAGTGAGAAATATTGGCTTGCTATTCCACTTATTTATGCATTCATCGGTTGACTCCTGTATGTGCCCTGACCTGACCAAGCATCAGACCTGCAACCTTGGCACCTCAGGACGACACTCTACCCAGCTGAGCTACCTGGCCAGGGCCTAAGAAGAACATTTCTGTCTTGAGTTTTCACTTGTTAATCCCTTCTTATTCTGCACACAATTGTGATCACACTTAACCATCAATTAACATCTTAATGTCTGCAAAGCCTTTTGTTTTTACTGTTAGGGGGGTTCACAGTGGAAAAGTAAAAAGGGAAAAGGAAGTCTAACACTTCTCCATTTACCTTTTAAAGCCTTGAGGACGATAACCTTGGACTTAGCAGGGTCCCCAGTGTGCATCTTGGTTCGATAGATGGCCCCGCAACCACCATTGTAGATCTGCTCCAGAACTTCGGAGAGCTGCTCCCGCGGCACCTGCAGCTCAGCCAGGGCCTGCGTGGAAGCTTTCAGAAGGCTTTCCACTGATGTCTCCTTAAGCGGCACGAGCACGCCTCCTCCCTTTGCTCCTACTTGCCCATTTAGGCTCCTAGAGGGCACAGGGGCAGCACCTAGAACAAAGAGATGATACCAGACCGTTTTCTCCTGCCCTCAACTCCATAAAAGCAGAGCTTGAGGAAAACTGGCAAGAAAGTTCCTTTAACAATTTTTTTCTTCAGCCATTGTGGGGATATGTTCTGATGCTTCTCTGTGAACCAGCATTAATACCAACCATCTAGAACCTGTATAATAATTTCATTACTTCTAAGACAACTTAAGATGACCTCTGGAAAGTGGTAATGGCCATTTCTTTCTGTGTTTCTCAGGATCACAGTTAAATATGAATATAGTACAGAGACAGCTGAGGAAGTTTCTGAATAATACTCAGACCACAGATACCTAAAGGTGGTGGTAACTCCCAGTAGAGACTATCATTTAAGTTCATCAAATGGCCCCCAAATGTCATGGGGAGGTGTGATAACTACTCAGCTCTTAGCTGCAGTTATCCTAACTCCTTCAAACTGTCCCCATGGTCAAACATTCCACATTTCTTAGAGTTTCATTCAAAAAGTCTTTTGCTACATTCTCCCATCCTGAGCCAACTTTTCTCCACTGAATTAGAAATATTCTTTCTTTGTATTAAATCTCTGTTCATTCAATCATTTATCAATTTATTCAACAAATATCACCTTCTACATGCCAAATACTATTCTAGGTGTTAGGAATGGGCAAAGTTCAGATTCTTATGAAAATTATTTTCTAGTGGTAGGAGAGAGGAAACAGATAATAATATGCCAGGTGATGAGTGTTATGGAGGAAAACAGGGGAATAAGAAGCATCAATGATACTATTTCATGTCTGAAGGTCAGGAAAGGCCTTTGTGATGACATTTGAGAAACTCCTGGAAGCAATTAGAGAGTAAACCATATGGTATCAGGAAGCGTATTACAGACTAAAGAAACAAGAAGTCCAAAGGTATTGAATAAGGAGCATACTTGGCATATCTGAGGAAGAGTCATGAAGTCAGTACAGCTGTAATCAAGTGCAATAACTGGAAAATGGTAGCAGAGGACGCCGGAGGCGAGGGGTAGATCATGTTACACCATTGAAAGAATTTTGTTTCTTTTCATTCTAAGACGGGAGACTACTGGGGAGTATCAAGCAGATAATTGACAGGATTGACTTACACTTTAAAAGAATAATTCTGCTACTCTGAGGAGAAGATGCCATAAAGGGATAGAGGCAGAAGCAAGAAAACCAGTTGAGAGTGTCTTACAATGATCTATGAGGTGAGAGTGGTATGAGTTAACTTTGAAGGTAGAGTTAACAAGATTTGCTCATGCATTGGATATGAAGTGTGAGAGACAGGACTCAAGGACAGCTTTAGTATTTTAGACTGAACACATAGGTAGTTCGGTTTGCCTTTTACTAAGATCGAGAAAACCACTGGCAGAGGATATTTGTGAGGGAATCTTGGGGCCTTTGCTTTGGACATATTACATATGAGAAGTGTATTAAATCCCAACTGCAACGCTAGTGGTTTCAGAGAAGAATCTGGACTTCAAGGTGGGGGGGTGTATAATTAGACTAGAAAAAGCATTTGAATCTATAGGCTTAAAATGAGATAATTTAGAAAGTGACTGGAGATTTAAAGAAAAAAGTGTTTCAAGAAGAAAGAAGTACAAGATTGTTTTGAATGCTTTTGACAGGTCAGATAAGATTAGAACTCAACGTAGCTGTCATTGGTGATCCTGGAAAGAGTCGTTTTGGTGGCTGTGAGGTTAAAACCTTCTGTTTTCAGTATATTGAAAAATGTGACAAGTAGTAGTGAAAGTAAGTTCAAACAACTTCTTTGGAAAGCTTTTTTTAACAAGAGTGAATTATAAGAGAATTGGAATAAAATTTAGAGAGGGACTAAGGGTTGGCCACTATAAAGTTTCATATAACTCATGTCAGAGTTTTCCCCTTCTTTTACTCTTAGTTCCATGTACTAGCTGATTGTCTTTCATCAGAAATGCAGTGACACTCCAGAACAGCATGTTAGCACCCCCTACCTAACACTTCAAAGGTTATTATGAAGGCTACCCCTTTTCATCATATATTCCAGAGGCACAGAGTAGGGCTGGAGTGCATTATAGAGTAAGATGTCATCCTTCAAAGCTGGTAGCAAAGCCTTGGGCTTTCCCTAGTAGGTCTTGCTCCCAGATCCTTGGACATTCATAAAGCCAAATATTTGATAGTACAATGAGACCAAGAGGACAGAAACAGATCACGTGAGGCCTCTCTGGTCTATTCTGGTTTCAGCTACCACGCATGTATGGAATTTCTACTCATGAGTTCCGTACTACCTAGAGAAGAGCTCATCCCTCTCTGAATTCCAAAGGAGGGGACCCATGCCTCATCCTCTATTGCAGGGACCTAGACCTCTAGAGTGGGACTCATTGAGACTTCAGTTTTATTTTTCTGAAATCTCCATCTTCCCTGAGCATCTGTCCCACCCCAGTTCAAGCTTTACCTTGGAGTCCAGGAGACCGTTGTTGAGCTCTTTTTCCTCTGATAAAAAGCCACAAAATGACCCCAAGAATGATGAGGAAGATGCCAACCAGAAGGGCTGGGATGATGATGATTTCATACTGGTTCTCCTGGACAACTGGGGAGGAAATTAAACAGGAAGATGCGAAATGAAAGAAGAAGCCTGACTTGATGTCCACACAAGTTCCCTCACCCACCAGTCCTCAGCTCATCCAACTGAAATGGTCATCTCTTCTTTCTTCCTCTCCCATTCCAAGGAAACCCTATTGGGAGCAACTCTCTAATTAGAAACATCAATGTCCCTCTTTCCTAACCTGAAAGTGTGCTCTGTGGCTCTTCTCTTATTCTTCCCACTCAGATGAAGAAAGCAACATCTGGATCTCTGATTGCCACTTGCCACTTTTAAAAAACAACAGCCTCTAGTGCCCATTTCTTTATCAATACTGTCTTTGCGTCACTACGAATCAAATTACCCCCCTCCTAGAATTTATCCAGACCTGGGTCTCCCTTATCCTAAGGCCAGAACATAGACATCTGTACTTACTACACCACTTGTCACTGAGACTGCATTCCAGGAGCACTCGTGTCATGCCCTTCTCGTCTCCCATTGCCACACAGCTGTCCACTTCTACGCTTGAGCCACTGAGAGTGCACAGAGCACGGCTGAGAATTCCCGAGGATTGAGTCGTTCTGAAGAAAATAAAGGGGAGCACCCAGAGAATCGTGCACTCTGAAACACATCTACAGGTCCCTGGATATTAGCCTGAAATTCGGCGTCATACATTAATCTCTGTCCATCTACCTGATGCTCAGGCCAGAAGAGCTTTATTCTTTGCCTGGCATTTTTCACATAGCAAATACAGCCCTGATTTGGTCTTATTCTTTCATGCCATTGTTTCTTAAAGTATTTTTTCTATTTTATTTTTTTTTATTAAATCAAAGTATTTTTAAAGGCTCCTTTCCAACTCAAGAGCCCTGCTCCAGTGCTCACATACATTTTCATAGCATCTGTCTGAGCAATTGTGGTCCATGGGTTATATGGGAAAGATTTACCTATTTGCCTTATGCAGGTCTAATTTCATTTTGTTGCGTTTCACTTACTTCTAAAACAAAATACAGGATGGGGAAAAATATGTTTACAGTTGTTCATATGGAAAATAATACAATAATTAATAAGTAATAATACAAGATTAATTGCTGTGTTTCCTATACTCACAACCTCCTTTTGCCCCACCCTGTATTTCATTTTTTTACAAAGCTATGGAGACTATGAAGAAATAGTTGGCAGGTGTCAAGAGAGATGAATTATGCATTTGCTTTCTTTCTCAGAAACATCCCCCACTGCAGCTCCACCATCCAGAAACAGACAGCACTTAGCAGTAGAGCTGTTTGACTCAGCGGCTCTCAGAGTTCCAAGGAGCTCCCCTGCCCATCACATACAGATAGATACAGACACTCATTCCTGCCAGGACATCGACTAAAGAGAGTACCGCGATCAAGCCAATTTCTCTTTCTCTCTCTTAGACAAAAAGGAAGTATATTCATATGGTTCAAAGGTAAAAATGCAAGATGATGTACCATAAAAATATTTCTTTCAACCCATCCTTCTCTATTTCTCCCACTCCCAGTTTTCCTTCAAGTAGATTATCATTACTACAGAAATTCTTCACGTGAATCACTTTTAATTCTCTATAACGTTTGAAATGACATGTCCCAAATCCTGCATCATTCTTTCTGAAGCACACTGGTGGTTACCACCCATCCATGTATCTATAAGCTTTATTTTTGTTAACAAAAGTCTCCCCTGGCTCTATGATCATCAGGGCCTGCTTAATTAATTCTGAATGATCTGATTCAGAATTAAAATCACAAAATCTGGTGATTTTCCACTGTCTAGATAATCCTAAATATGTTATCCACTTTTGTAGTCATTTGATAGCAAGGTATAATTTTAAAAATTAGAATCGTAGCTTACGTGACATACTACACTGTACATGTTACATGAGCCATAGTGTATTATGTGTTGTGTTTTATTATTGATATTAATAAGCACAGTGCTATCTCTTGAGGCAGAGAGTTTTTTAGTGCCTGAAAAACACATGTAAAGAAGTTTCTTGACCTGGCTCAGGTTGTTGAGTTAATTACAACATTATCTCTATATGCCAAGGTTGCAGATTCAATGCCCAGCCAGGGCATATACAAAAATCAATCAATGCATAAATAAGTAATACAACAGATTGATATTTCTCTCTTTATCTCTAAAAGAAAACAATAAAAATTTTCCCAGCTCCAGCCAAGCCCCATTTTTATTATCCCTGGAGTTGCATGAGCTTGGGGAGATAAGAGTTAAATGATTTCCTTACAGTTTAGAAGACAGACAAGTGTGTGGTTGGTTAACAGAAGCCTAAGTACATAGAGAAGCAGCCTGAAGGAGGAAAATTACAGAGAGGAAAGTGAATTCTTACCTGTGGGTGGGTGCATCACAAGGAATCTGTGAAGTCAATGAATAATAAGACAGCAAAGCCCATTTCATTCAGTTTGTAAATCAAAACGGTAAGGTGCAATGTAGTTAAGAAATCTCCTCCATTCCACAAGAGCACAGGGGAGGAAAAGCACTAATAACTGGGCAAAAAACGGGGAGCCTTGATAGAGTGAAATGATGGAGGTCTTACAAATAAACATGCGTCCAGCCAGAATTCAAAAGCTACTTGAAAATCTCTCACTGCCATTCACACTCATATTTTCCCTCCTTCCTACTTCCTTTTCACTGCATTATCAAATGTAATTATTTTCATTCAGGGAGCAGCCAGTTAATGAGTTCACTCTGAGGAACAGGTTCTCTGTGCGTCATGTCTTACCACAGCACGAGTGGAAGAAAGGTCGCTCAGCAGCCAGCTCAAACTTGTGAGCTCTGCCCGGAAACCAAACTACCCACTGACTAACACGTACTGAGAAGAGTCATTTGAAGCTCAGTGTACGCATGTGCGCCCCCACAGAGGTGCTCATCGTGGGCCGCTCTCAACTATAAGCACATGGCCGCAGACCTACACCCAGCATCTCATATCCATGCTTATACTCCCACTCCTGTATGACACTTGGTACAAAGTACCCACCTTTGGACACGATATGGTCGTTTATTACATTTCCTGAAAACATAACCAATATAAGTTTTATTTGTGCATAGATAGTTTATAGAGTTAGTCATAAAAACACCTAGCCACCCAACGAAATTGGATACTGGAGCAAAAAAATAAATATATAGTGTGGTGGAGTCCAGTCAACAAATAGCTTTTCTAACTCTTTCCAAAGGTTACAGTTTGTCTAGAGGCAAATGGAGTATACCAAATAAATCTAGAAATTTTAATATATACATACCAGGCATAGCCACATATCCGTGAAAGTCCACACAAGAAGCCAACTTACCTCACAGAGCCCGCCAAAGCACTCTATCAAAAGATGCTCACATTTGCTTGTAACAATATTCCTCTCTACATTGTTTTTCTTCCTGCAATTAATATTCAATTGCCGCATGACTTTGCCGGCCCACTGTGGCCAAGCTGTGAGAAGGCATGCCCTGATGCTAAAACCTTCCAAGATGAGTCTCCCAATGGGTTAGACTCTAACCCATCTGATTCTTAGAATGCTGCTGACCGACATTTCCCTACAATATGACCAATACTCTGTCTCCTTCAATACATCCAGATAGCCCCCTCACTGTGTGGAAAAAAATAACTACGTTGGCCACTGCTTCTCCTCCTAACTGGACTGTTAAATCCTTCAGCATATAAAACACAATCCCACCTGCCTTATCTTTTCTTGCCTTTGTTCCTTGAGGTATTATTGAAGGCTCTCCCCCTACCCAAGACTCCTGCTGTAGTATATGGTCACGTATGTGGTCACAGCACCTGTGGGCAGTTGTGGTCCATGGATTATGAGGGACAGATCTACTTCACCTATGGTCCTTTTACAGGTCTAATTTTTTTTGCTGTGTATTACTTAATTTTTAAATAAGATTATTCCATTTCATTTTTATGCAATGTTAATCAGGACAATGAATAAAAAGTTGGCAGATTTTAAGTTCTCAGTTTAATGCCATATATTATGAAATTCTGGATGTTGGAATTAAGAATAGAGTAAAGCTGTAAAGTTGTTTTGCTCTGGTAACTATATTTGACAGTTGGAAAATATGTACATAGCTTGCCTGCAGTTTACACAAAACCACATTGCCAAATCTCTTCAGGGAGGGTGGTAACTAAAATAGTCCTGTTGCCTCACTTATAATTGTTATTTCTCATTTTCACTCAGTTGCTTCTGACTTTCTGTTAGCACATTTAGAAGGTTAGCCCCCCTCCAGGGGAGAATACAGTGAAGAATAGACAATGAAGAAGCAGATTCAGATAGGAAGAGAATGGGAGTGAAGTGGGGAAACCAAATCTTAGCAGATGTATAGTCTGGAGATCACATAAGTTAATAATCATAACTAGAATTGAACTAAATATTAATATTAACTCTCCAAATTCTTACAAATCCTCACAATGCAAGCACAATGCCACACTGCATCTCTACAACTGGTTTACACACAAAGACAGTTCTGTTTGTGACAACGGCAGAACTCTCACTAGTGATATTTCTGTTCAGTTAGCATGTAATAGTCTAACATAATCAGCAATCTACCATGAGTGTCCAAAAGAAACTCTTCTTGCCAAAATACACCTACAAAAAATTTTTAAAATTAGGTCCATTTTCCTGTACACTGTCTGCATATGTGTTGTGAGAAATTCCTTGACTGACCTCTGTAGAACATCTGGTACTGTGACCATAACATGTGGTTAAATCTGCTGTGCTAGCCTCACCTTCAACCTTACTACCTGCGTATCAACACAACTGGATCTGCCAGCCCCATTCTTTTTATATAGAAAAGTAATCGACCTTCCTAGATGGATGCCACACCACGCTAAAGTAGTTATTGAGATCTATGAACTTGACGGCAGAGGATGCAGAGACGTAAAGTGAAAGGGACAAAATATATAGAGACAGCAGCCCCTACACTGAGAGTCTGCCTTCTAACTCAGTCACTCAGCCTTCCCTTCTCCTCCCCCTTTCATCCTTACCCATGAGCTGTCTAGCAAAAGAAATAAAAACTTCTAATGGAATAAACATGTTAAGTTGGAAGCAAGATAGAGAAATGCTCAGATTAGAGGCTCTAGAATTACGACATTCTGAAAACAAGCTCTCTGTGTTTTCCCATCCAATAACATATACAGAACAACTACATATGCCAGGTATTCTGCCAGGCAGATACTGAGATTCGGAGACAGCAAGGTCTGAAATAGCCAGGGTTTTAAAAAAAGCAAGTAAATAGCAGAACAAGTTTCCACACACCAGTCTTTTACTTTTTTTTAAGATTTTATTTATTTATTTTTAGAGGGAGAGGGAGGGAGGGAGGAAGAAAGAGGGAGAGAAACATCGATGTGCGAGAGATACATCCATCAGTTGCCTCTCGCACACCCTCAGCTGGGGACCTGGCCCGAAACCCAGACATGTTCTCTGACTGGGAATCAAACTGGTAACTCTTTGGTTCTCAGGATTGCATTCAATCCACTGAACCACACCAGCCAGGGCCATACCCCAGTCTTGTAATTACAAACCCAATGTTCCTTAAACTATCTTACTGCACATATGCACTTGTCACTCAAATGAACAAGATCAATAGTGGTGAGAACGATTCATGTCAGAATCCGAAAGAACCATGGAAACCATAATGCTGACCAAAGTACCATAAACTAGAAAGAACAGATGGGTAGAATCTGCCTGTAAGTGTGTTCTCTAAGGTCTTACGTAGGGGGAGAGATGATGCCTGCATGTCTGTCTTCAAAATGTACTCTGAAGGTAAGAGTAGAATAAAAAAAAAGAAAACAAACAAAAAGAAAAGAGTAGAATCAGAATTTTTTTCCAGTGCTCACCAGATGATGGAATCTGGGGTCATTTTCTTTATTTGCTCACTTTCCTGGATCTGATCCTAGTCCTATTTTCTATCTTCTGCTTTTTGAAGTAAAGGGCCTAGTTCCCAGGACTAGCAATCTTCCACTGTGAGCCTGAGGGTTAGGAAGGGACCAGAAGTCCCAGAAGATGGGAGCACTGACCTAGGAATTAGGGCCACCATGCAGTGGCCCAGGCTCCACCTCTGTACTAAAGCAAACTTGAGAGAGGACACACTGAAGAGGTGACCATCTTCAAATCCGGAGAATCGGACTTGTGTAGATACCTTGCTTTCTGCCTGGTGTTATCTCCTAATGTTCAGGAGGCAAAAAGGGAGATCGATCATCCAGAGGGACCACGACTGCTCCGCCCTGCCTTCCTAGAGACCCAGGCCCTGAAATGCACATTGAACGGGTTGGAAAACAGGCTCCGCCATGGTGTCTGAAGCCCTGACACTGTTCAAAAAAGATCTTTTGACAATAAGTCTGAACATTATCAGCTTTTCCTGCTTCTTATTTTCACCTGTCTGCAGGAAACATGGGTGATATACAGTAGAGATAAGGAAGGCCAATTTGTATCTTGGATCCTCCCGAAAAGTTTGCTCTGTAAAGGAGCAAAGGGATGCAAGACAGCCCCCATAACACATGGACAAGAAGAGCAGCCCCCTAACATCACAAGCAGCGTCAGGCTTCAGCTATGATCACAGAGATGAACACGTGTCCTTTCTTTGAAGGTGTGGTACAAATTCAAGACATTAATTTTTATTATAATGATCATTCCAGTTATTGTGGTCCTGTTTTGTAATCCCGTGTCTACTATATCCAAACCTCAAAAACCCTGAAGTAATATATCCCTTTTTAGTTAGTTTTATTTGTTGGTGTATTTTTGTCATCAAAATAGCATTTACTGAAACATGAACCTTCAACCCTTTTGTACATTTTTATACACATTTTCATGTTTCATTTTCATGAAAAAACATTTTCATGTTTTTTTTATCACAGGAAAAAAATTCTTTTTTTGATTTCTCTTTTTCCTTTATCTACAGGGTTAGGCAAAAATAGGTTGACAGTTGTTCATGTGGAAAAAGACAACTTATGTCTATTATATAACTTTTTGAAATTTTACTGTTGTTCAAGTACAGTTGTCTGCACTTACTCCTCACCACTTCTCCCAGCCCATGTTTCTAAAGCAGATGCTCTTTAGCTTTCATGAGATTCTCACATGGGCTGCAATTCCCCCAAATTCTCTAGAAATGGTTTCCTTTTTGTTGGGGGGGGTGAAAGGTAGAGGCTGTTTTTCTGAATTTAAAAAAATATCTTAATCACAGTTGACATACAAGGTGACATTAGTGTAAGGTGTACAACTTAGTGACTAGACATTTATGTAACTTGTGAAGTGATCACCTCAGTTAAGTCTATTACCCGTCTGACATTATACAGTTATTAAAATATTACTGACTATAGTTCCTGTGCTGTGGTTTACATTCCCATGACTATTTCTATAACTGGTGATTTGTACATCTCAACTCCTTCCCCTTTTTCATCCACCTCCCCAACACTCCCTCTCAACAGATAATAATCAAAATGTTCTCTGTATCTACGAGTTTGTTTCTGTTTTATTTGTTCATTTATTATGTTTTTTAAGATTCCGCATATAAGGAAATCATATGAGATTTGTCTTTCTCTGTCTGACTCAGAAACAATACATCTTAAATCAGATATTGTCCCTGATTCTTTTCTCTTCCTGGGATTACAAATCAACAGCAATCACCCCAGCCCAGAATAAGTCAAGAAGAGGAGAAAGTCAAGAACACACAAAGGGCACCCCACTGTAAACACAGATTTGCTTCTGGTCCATCTGTACCTCCTTTCTCCTACCTGATTAATACTCCAGAAGACGCCTGCAGGTGCTGCTCCCAGGCTTCTTTCAAACACCTTGCTCCTGCTGTTGTCCGTCACATTGTATTCTCAAGAAGCAGTCTCCCTCTTGCAACTTACTCTGCTTGGCTTTTTCTTCTAAAGGGGCCACTTCTGGCACATTAAAAACCTTTTGGTGTTTCCCCTCATAAGTGAGGGGGTCAGTTTTGTATTCTGGCCTCTCCTCCAGCCTATCCTAGCACACTCCGCCCTCTGCAGAGAAGCACCCAGCCGAGGAGGACAGAAGAGTCAGCAAAAGAGTTCAGGAGCACACACACTCAGGCACACTCACAGACACGCGTTCCAGGGCACATGCACACAGTTTCTCCTGCTCTGATAAAGGGGTGCCAGCCCCAGGCTGGCTGAGGGACAAATGGGCAGGAGATTTCACAACCAGGAAATCCACTCAGCTGCTGTTCAACTCAGTGCTAAGTCAAATAGGGTGTGTCACTGTACTGATTCCAAACATGAACTGTAATCCCAGGTAAACAAAAACAAATCCCTGGAAATATCTTTAAAAAGACACTTCTGAGGACACTTAGCCACTTCACTCTGCACAGCCAAGAGCAAATGGCAGGTGCCCCCCTAGGAGTTGGGTGAGCTGCTTCCAAGAGTCGGAGCTGGGCACCCTGCGGAGTTGGAGGAGGGGAATCAGCACCCACCTAGCGCTATGACGACTGAGTCAGAGGTTTGAAATTCTAGTTCTGGTTTGGTAAGTAACTCACCGACTATCTGGAGGCATAGCACCTGACCTTGCCATCCCTTTCCTTCCTACTTTCAGGACCAGGACATTCTCTTGAGGGCAGTGAAGAACTACAGAGAGCAGCAGGAAGTGAATCAGAGGCAAAGGGTTCAGGTCAACTGACAAGTCCCCTCATCTCCTCCTCCCAAATTCTGAAGGCTCCCTTGGACCTTCCTCTTCCTACCCATGTCATGGCAGCACCAGAATCCCACAAAGTTTTGGTCCAATTCCTGCCCCGACTGTAGTTTCCTAAGGGGAAAATGGTAAGAGAAGGAGCTCTGGAGTTGGGCTTCTACGCGAATCTCGATTCTACCACTCAGCGTGTATAAAGTACTCTAAATTTCTGTTTTTTTCTATCTGTAAAGTAGAAACAATACTGCCTACCATCCAAGACTTGAAATAGTTGATGTGAAAAAATCCACACCTGTAGAGAATTGTTTTAAGAGTTTATATGAGCCAGACTGATAATATATCTAAAATGCTCCAGAGAATAACAGATTTGCAGCTGCTTTTATACACTAGAAATTAAGGTGGTGGGGGAAAGCGAGACAGGGATTTGGTCACAGAATAGTTAACGAGATTATGTGCTCTCTTGAGGGTGGTGATTTCAAAGGTATGTCAACCTAGATGCATGTAGACAATGGAAAGGGCTTGATTAAGGCAAAGACGAACCTACTACTAAAAACGTTTTACACCTGGGGCATGACTATTCATCATGACCTGCCCAGTTAGAATTCTATTTATGATCAAAGCACCCTGTAAGGCTACTTTCCATAGAATCCAGAATCCTCTTTTTTTTGTCCACAAAAATTACATGGAATAATTCATGGAAAATACCTAACACAATGCCAGGCCCATTACAGATCAATACACATCACTCTCTGCCTTCCTCCTCCCCTACTTCACCTTCTCCCAGGTTTGGAGGCAGTCACGTAGCTGCATCAGTCAGGTATGGTTGAATTAAGCCTTCATTATTTTATAATAAGGAAATGGAAAAGAAGGCTAGGAGTCAGAACAATCTGAAAGCAGAGTCACCCAAAAAAAGAAATTGGCTAAAAGTGACATAATACAGAAGGCGGGGGGGAAATTGTCCCAAAGACCTAGTGATCAGAATTAAAGATGAGGGAGAATCACTAAATCAAACTGTATGGCTTCATTGAAGGCTCTCTGGCCCTAAAGTCAAGGGAAGACCTGGAATCTAAGTTCTTCCAGTTGCTTGATAAAGGCATCATCCTTCCTACCTGGGAACTGTTGGAACTGTCGGGAGCAAAGTTAGTGTATCATGTCCACCAAACTGTGGCACAGTGAAAAGGACACAGGGACCACAGTCAGAGAAGCAGGACAGATTTATCTTAACCTTGTAAAGCCTCAGTTTCATAATTTACACAACTGAGATAATCATGGCCACGTACCTCAAAGGATTCTAGTGTGAATGAGAATGTAAAGATGTTCTTCCATGGTAATAGTTACAGATTGCTCTTCTAGCAGTAATTCACTTGTGTACCATAGTTACATTTCAGAGCACAGGTTCGAACTCAGTGTTTCTGAATATTATGTTGTACTTGAGGCTCTCTAACTTTAACTGTGACTGCCCCCACCACAGTGGTCATAAGAGAATGTGGCTTTCCTGGAGCGTTGGCATAAATGTGGGCAAAATCCCTTTCCTTGTAACGTAAATAGTTGGAAAACAAATTCAATGAGCAAAAAGTGCAGACCGGTGTGTGTCTGCATGGATGTGGATATGGGTGTGTGAGGTATACAGGCAAGTATTTTCTTAAAGAGAAGTTTGTGTTTCTACTGAAGCTGGCTTCTTATCTTTTTTAGTTTTAATTATTTTTTATTTTTAATAATTTTTCATTTGTAATATGGCTCATGATACAAACCCATGGGTACAGACTGTGGCGACTCCCCTTCTTTTTCTAAAACATACTTTATTGATAATGCTACTACAGTTGTTCCAATTTTTCCCCTTTGCTTCCTCCACCCAGTACCCCCGTTCCCTCCAGCAACATCCACCCCTTAGTTCATGTCCATGGGACATGCATATAAGTCGTTTGGCTACTCCATTTCTTATACTGTTCTTAACACCCCGTCTATTCTGTACCTACCAATTTGTGCTTCATAACCCTGCACCTTTCCTCTCATGTTCCCCCATCCCCTTCCAATGATCTCCACATCTATGATTCTGTTCCTGCATGTTTGCTTAGTTTGTTATTTAGATTCAATTATTGATAGTTGTGAATTTATTACTATTTTAATGTTTATCGTTTTGGTCTTCTTTTCCTTATATAATTTCCTTTAGCATTTCATATAATAATGGCTTGGTGATGATGAACTCCTTTGTCTGCCCTTTGATTTTAGATGATAGCTTTGCTGGATAGAGTAATCTAGGTTATAGGTCCTTGCTTTTCATCACTTTGAGTACTTCTTGCCAGTCCCTTCTAGTCTGCAGAGCTTATTTTGAGAAATCAGCTAACAGTGTTATAGGAACTCCTTTGTAGGTAATTCTTTGCTTTTCTCTGGCTGCTTTTATGATTCACTCTTTAACTTTTGGTGTTTTAATTATGATGTGTCTCAGTGTGGTCCTCTTTGTGTTCATTTTATTTGGGACTCTCTTTTCTTCCTAGATTTGTATGTCTATTTCTTTCACCGAATTAGGGAAGTTTTCTTTCATTATTTTTTCAAATAACTTTTCAATTTCTTGCTCTCCTCTTCTCCTTCTGACACCCCTATGATTTGGATATTGGTACACTTAAAGATGTCCCAGAGGTTCTTAAGCCTATCCTTATTTTTCTGAATTCTTTTTCCTTCCTGCTGTTAGGATTGAGTGCTTTTACCTTTCTTGTGTTCCAAACTGTTGATTTGATTCTTGGCTTCATCCACTTCACTGTTGGTTCCCTGTTGATTTTTCTTTATTTCACTTAATGCAACCTTCATTTCTGCCTGGGTCTTTTTTATGGTGTTGAAATACCCAGTGAATTCCTGGAGCAACCTGATAGCCAGTGTTTTGAACTGTACAGCTGATAGGTTGCTTATCTGCATTTCATTTTCTTCTTTTTCTGGAGTTTTGTTCTGTTCTCTCATTTGGGCCGTATTTCTTTGTCACCTCATTTGGCAGCCTCCTTGTGTTTGTTTCTGTGTATTAGGTAGAGCTGCTTTGACTCCCTATCTTAGCTCACTTGTAAAGTTGTATGGGATGGAGCCTTAGGTAATCACAAGGGCAGGGTAACTCATGCCACCACTCTGTTGTTCTGTTTGAGGAGGGCTCACAGAGGGGACAGTGACACTGCCTGGCCTCTGGTGTTTGCCCTGGAGTAAGCTGTCTCTCTGCTTGCACTTCAATTTCTCCCTACGTGCCATTGGTACCCTTCCAGCTGTTGCCCTGGTGCTGAATCCCAGAGGTGGTGGATCTTTGTGAGTCCTAAGTCCACTGTGAGCCCTTTAAGAGGATGTGGTTTCTTCTACCACCCCAACCCCCACTAGTTTTTACAGCCAGAAGTTATGGGGACTTATCCTCTTGGTGCTGGAATCCTGGGCTGGATGGTCTGGACTGAGGCTGGAATCCCTCACCCCCAAGGTATTCCTCTCATTTTTTATCTACTACACACGCATGTGGGACCAACCATTCCTATCTCCATGCCTCTCTGCATCTCTGTCCCTGCTTCTTGTCTGGATAAACATGGCTTCTTTAAATCGTTGGTTGTCAGACTTCTACACAGCTTGATTTTCTGACAATTCTGGGTGATATTTGTTTTTTAGTATAGTTGTAATTTTTGCTGTAGTTGTGCCAGGAGGTGAGGTGTGTTTACCTACACCTCCACTTTGATGGGAAGTTGGTTTCTTATGACCACACTGCTGTCCGACAGCTGGCCCAGCTTCAGCCATCTGCCTTTATTCTTTACTTCTCTGCTCTGAATTTATATGCATGAGAAAGATGCTGTTTTCAGACACTTCTTTCCTTAGGATCTTTTACATATTCCACAATGAAAGCCAAAAAGACATATTCCTAGGATTTAACTCACTTTCTATTTTTATTACAGGTTTCAGGAGCATATCCCAGCCCATTTTTGAAATTCAATATTCCTGTCTCTAATGCTAATTAGCTGTGAACCCTTGAGCAAACTAACCTGTCCTAAACCTCAGTTTTCTCATCTGTTAAATTGTGTTTACAATATTATCCTATGAAGTGTCATTGTAAAAAGCAAACGGTACTTAGAACAATATCTAGTACATAGTAAATAGTAACTATTGCTAATTTACTTCTATAATAATTACAGGAATAAAATATTCCCATAGTAATTACTATCATCACTCCTCTAATTATGACATCTTCAAATTACCTTTTTTTGGTAAGAAGCTTATCCTATGCAGCATCAATATCATGACATAATACTATAATAAGTCTATTTGTCACACAAGGACAAGAGAATTATTTCCTGAGATCTAAGTTTAATGTATCCTTACAGTAAGTCTTACCCAGGCTTTTACTATAATTTTCTCACCTTTTTCTACAAAGTAACTGCTTCTTACATATCTTGAATATTCAACTCTCCTGTTGTTTTTACAAATTACTTTGGAGGTTTTAAATTTAAAATACCACATACTTACAATAAAAGTGGATACAGCAGATTTTGGACTTCTTTTCCTGGACTATAGCTCCCCAAACTTAA